CATATTTGGGGTTTGCAGAAACGCACTGTGCTGACATTTTCTTCTAGCGACAGTGCTGCCTGCAAACTAATCAATCAACATGAGAGTAAACATCAAACACTTAAGTGTGGAGTGTGATAAACATGACTGCTTAAGTGTTGTCTCTCAGGAGCAAAGTGTGAGGAGGAAGAGAAAATGTCAAAATGAAATGAGAGCAAAACATGATAATTCTTTTATCACTTTTTTCCTCCCTCTGGGCGGTGACGTTTTCCTCCCTGCTGCCTTCTGGCTGCTGTTAACACTTCTGAGACGAAACAGAAATCCTTCCTGCGGTGCTCTTACAGTGCAAGTCTCCAATTTGCTTCATAAACTCGCTTGGTATCAGGATCCTTTGGCTCGTGAACCGCCAAGGAGGAGATTCTAACAAAGTTACAGGACGCCTCACATGCTGATTCAAGCCGTCAGCGACAGCAGGCGCTCTAATTGGCGGGCGCAGTGCTGCTGAACGGCTCTGCAAATTCAATTTTAGATTCTGGGGAGCAGGAGTTTGACCGAGAGGGTGGAAGATACTGAGAAAGAAAAAGTGTGTGTGTCACTTCCTCTTACATTTCCAAAAGTTAAAATATTTCATCTAGTGTGTGACTTCTAAATTCTCTGGTAGATGATAATAAACATGTAATATTTTCCTTTTAAATAAATGTATTGAAGTAAAGAGTACAATGTTTCCCTTTGAGATGCAGTGATGACATTTACAAAATATGATGTTACTCCAACAAGTCAATAAACCAAGATGTTGTAAACGATACCAATTCAAGCCAGGTTAGCCATTGTTAACTACCATTTGACAAGATCCATTGATAAGAATGCATTACGCTGTATTTTTTCGCATACAAACACCATAGCAACATGTCCACAGATACAAGTTAGACAGTATTATGTGTATAGCTGTTATTGTGAGACACAAGTGAGACAGAAGTGCTAATACACCGTTTATTACTACAGCTTTCAACCTGTTTATGCACAGAGCAGCTGTCTTTAATCTTGAGGTTGTGGTTTGTAAGATTTTTTTTGACTTTCTGAGTCAGAAATCTGATTTTAGGGGGCGTTCAACTGGGAACTTGTAAATTCCGACTTTCTGTCTTCAGGGGGAATGCACCATATGACACCAATACCTCAAAGAACATCACAGAAAAATCCATGCTGTGACTTGGTACTGAAACCTTGAGATTTCTGTAAAAACTGCATTTTTTGGATGGCTAGCACTTATGTTCTTGAAACTGCTGAGAAACCCCCGTTATTGTCAATATACCTATAAAAGCCAAACATCCTTTGAATACCTCAAGTGTCTAGTTTGGTGTTTTTAAGTTTCACAGGGCTGTGATTATCCAAGAAGTCACAATAGGTCATTTTATACAGTGATGCACATTTCCAAAAGGTCTCTCTCAATTATGGCTATGATGGGGACTAATATCATCATACATAATTAAAGCTGGGCTCATTAAATCCACAAGAGTCTCAATTTTCACTCACCAAAATATAACCTAACTTTGGAGCATTATTTTACCCCCTGCTTGAGAAGCTAGCGTGACATGATTGGTACTAATGGATACCCTCAGTCTTCTAGTTTCATGTGATACCAGTATCAGTCTAGTTTAAACTCAGCCTGCTGCAGCCTCTTACAGACAGTAATGTTGGCCGGGATCAAAAAGGTGTGTTAGGGGCATGCTTACCTCTCTGTTACATCACCTTTACTTTTAACAACACTAACTAAGTGTTTGGGATCTAAGGACACGTACTGTTGAAGTTTTGAAAGTGTAATTCTTTCCCATTACTGCACGATATATAACTTTAGTTGCTCCACAGTTCATTATACGCCTCACGTGTTCAGTGGGAGACAGGTCTGGACTGCAGTCAGGCAAGCCTAGTACCTACATTCTTTTCATACAAAGCCACACTGTTGTAACACATGCAGAATGAGTCTCATTGTCTTGCTTGATTAAGCAGGGATGTCTCTGAAAAAGATGTCGTCTGGATGGCAGCATATGTTGCTTTAAAACCTGTCTGTGAGCCTTAACTTCCCCATACCATCACAGATGTTGGCTTTGAACTTTAATCTGGTAACAATCTGGATGGTCCTTTTCCTCTTTAGCCCCAAAGACACGTCGACCATGATGGACCGGTCAGACCACAGCACACTTTTCTTCTTTGTGTCAGTCCACCTCAGATGAGTCTGTGGATGTTGTTGACGGCTACGCCATATGTATGGGTGTTCTCATGGCCTGAATGGAGAAGGACAGATCCATCATGCAGCACTTGGTGTCCAGAGGCAGTCTGGTGACTGTCACTTATCCCCAGGATGTCCAGGTGGTATCTTTTCATCTGACTGAGGACTTGTGCTGTCTTGGTGGTCTCGTACATGGTTCAGACATTCCATGTTCCAAGGCAAATCTTGGATTTTGGACCTGGTAGACCCTCTTACCCTCTTTCTCTTTCCTGCTACCGTTTAGGTGGCTGGGGTCTACTAAGTGCCTGGTGTCAATACTTTTGCTCGTTGTAATTACTGTAACTGTGCGTTCACACCACACGCGATGTCGCTTCGGGCGATGCGTTTCAGGCGATAAGAGCGATGCAATGAAGCCATGACGCGTCCATCGCGTGTATGGCTTGAAGTTGAAAAATTTGAACTTTTCAAGTGACATCGCGTGACGCTGTGCCGCGCCATCCAATCGGCGTTGATATCCAACCATTCATAAAGAAATTATATGCTACTAACCGGAGACAGATGGACAGGCGCTCCGCAGCTGGGATGGAGCGCCTGTAGTTGGTGTCCAGGCGGGAGATCCTCGCACCGATACGGGCCAACAGGTCCTCATACTGGGCCAGCTTCAGCCTGAAGTACCTCTGGAAATGACTTTCATTCAGACGCAGCTCTTGCAGGAGGTGATGATATTCACCCAGCTGTGTGCGTTTCTGGAGGATATTGTGAACCCAGACACGGCGGCGTTTGGGTCTCCGATCCAAATCAGATGTCCACAACAGATAAAGAGCAGCTACGGTAGTTAACTCAGCCATGGTTGAAGAGAAAATAGCGGGAGGTGAAGAAAATTGCGGGAGGAGGGTTGCGTCATCGCGATTAAAGCGATGAAGCGATGATCAAAAAGGTGGCATTTGTGATCAAGCGACGCAATACTCGCGTTACAGGCGATGACCTCGCGTCCATCGCGTTTGGTGTGAACGCACGCTAACAGTTTATTTTTTATGGGGCGGCGCTGTCAGCGCTACGCCCCCAAGCCTGGAGGGCCAGTGTGCTGACTTTCGCGTGGCTCCTCTCCTGAGACCAATCTAGTATGGCTGAACATGACCAGGAGCCACAGACCCACCCCCAGCATAGCTTTTAGCATCCTAGAAGCACACAAGGTAACAGCACAGGGAGAAGTCTGGATGCTGTTGATATTTGTCTTTCACTTTGCATGGTAGACGCTTAACTTGCATTTGTAGATGCAGCGACGAACTGTGTTCACCTACAGTCATTTTACAAAGTGTTCCTGTTCCTCCAGTGTTTTAATGCAGTGCCTTCTGAAGGATTGAAGGTCATGGGCAGTCATTATTGGTTTTGAGATTTCCCTGGATCCTCTGAATCTCTTGGTGATATTATGGACTGTAGATGGTAAAATCACTTCATTCCTTGCAACTGTACATTGAGAAAAGCAGCTGTTAAGCTGTTGGACTGTTTGCCCTTGCAGTTTTACACAAAGTGGCCTTCCTTGCTTCTGAACAACTGAGCCTTTGGAGGATGCCTCTTCAATACTTATTAATTCTACCATTATTTCAATCAGGAGAGACAGAAGATTGGAGTAAATATAATATTTAATACAGAATACGTATGTACAGATTAACAGATGATTTGTGCTGATTAAGATTTAACAGAAGTGTTTTGGCACTTGGACACCAGAGGGAGATATTTTCAGATCGAGGGACATCTGAGCAGCAGCAGGATAAATCCCCCCATGGAGTCCAGACACTGATGGTGGTGGCGGCTGATGACTCTGAGGCTGCTGAGGCAAATGAGGCTGATGAATCCCCAAAGACTAGGTGGTGATGGGGAGGTGGAGGGTGCACATGACGGCAGCAAGAAAGACCTACTGTAGTTACATATCAACCAGTATTTTGTTGCCCTTTTTGTGAAGAATTGCAGGCATCAACCTCAGAATGAGTGTATATTTCTTAAAAGAATAATGAAGTTTATGAGTTTGAACATTAAATAACTTGTCTTTGTACTGTATTCATTTTAATATAGGTCAAAACCGATTTATGAACCGTTGCATTCTGTTTATTTATGTATGACACATCATCCTGACTGTTTTGGAACTGGGGTTGTAAAAGATTTAGGAAACTCTCTTTTTGTGTTACTTTCCCTCCACTGCAGCTCAGCAAGAAAACACTGTCTGAGAAACAGATTTATTTTGTACTAAAAAGGCTGTAACGTTTGAAGAGCTGCTCATTAGCTGGAGTTAATGAGAGCTGAGAGGTCGAATCTGAAACGCCTCCTCATCAACAATTATCGATCTCACTCTGGTTTTCTGCCACTGTTTTTTTTTTTTCTTCACTTCCAGCTAGACTTAATCTTCTCTCAACAATCCAGCTCTAGCTTTCCTCTCTTTCTTTATCTCCCACTCTCTTTATTTTTTACCTTCTTCGTTTTTTTCTGGATTTTCTCCTCCTTTTAAATCCTTCACTCACAGTCCCTCCTCCATGTTGTCTCAACATTTCTTTTTCTGTAGCCTTCCTCCACGATCTTTTCCTTCTTTGTCCTTAATCAGTTTCCTCTCTTAGACTCTTTTCTCTTTTCCTCTAGCACACTTTGTTTTTAGATTTACATCCTTTCTCAACCTCCTCATCTCCTGTCTTGAATCTTAAAGTCTGTCGAGGTGTTCGTGGCGTCTGTTCTGTGGTTTCTTCAGATATTATGACCTTTATTTACAGCTGATCTAATCCTCTTCCTCCTCCTCTTCCTCCTCCAGGTCTATCTATTCGTAGCGTCTGCTGGCGAGCCGACCGGATCCTGGCGGGAACGCAGGATAGCGAGATATTTGAGGTGAGAAAAGAGACAAAGGATAGGAAACAAAAACAGCCCCATGCTGTTCCTTCTTGCAGAGATGTTTTCTATTAAGAGTTTTATTTTGGTGAGGTGAACGCTGGCTCCTCATTGGCCCTCACGTAGTTTACCTCACTATAACAGGTTATACCAAGTCAGTGACAGTCACATGAAAAAATGAAGGGTCATTTACTTAAGAAAAGCCCATATGATAGAAAATAACATTTTGTGCTTTTAGGAGTGTAAGTACCTCGAATTTGTATTTAAGTACAGTGCTTCAGTAAAAGTACTTAAAACTGAGCCTGAACTTCATAGTTAACATTTGGAAGTAGCATCATTTAACAACAGTGGTAGAAAATGACGAAGCATCTGTCTGCATGTGTCCAGGTGATGGTGAGGGATCGGGACAAGCCGCTGCTGATCATGCAGGGACACAGCGAGGGCGAACTCTGGGCGCTGGACGTTCACCCCAAAAAACCTCTGGCAGTCACTGGCAGCGACGACCGCTCCGTCAGGTCAGTGCAGGAACACACATACTGGGAGCTGCCCAGTATAACCACAGGCTGTTGCAAGTAGATGCTTCCCGCTCCACTGGGAGGGATCACAGGTGTGACGGTTTCTGCTCGTCTCCAGCATCTGCTCGCTATTTGCAGGAGACTCCTCAGAGACCAATTATATATAAACATAGTCACAGTCGGCTGAACACAGGTGATAAACAGCAGCAGTAAAGACAGAGAGACGTGTCTGGTTTCCTCGTTTTCTTTGACTTAAGTTATAGGGTTTTTTTTCAAATAAATTGCTACAACAGTCAAGTATCAGTTTTAGAAGGACCCAAATGCAGAGCAGCAGGCAGGTGTGAGGGATAACAGAAAGTCCAAATGACAGGAGAACCAAAACTAACTGAAAACCTACCGGGATAATTCGGTGAACTCAGGTAAAAAATCCAAACACAACACAAGACACCAGGCAGGAAACATTGCAGGGAATGACACCAAGAACACGGGGATGAACACAGACTAACTGACAAGGAAGAAAGGGAAATACACGGGTATATATATGAGCAAGTCTTACTCTGAAGTCGTCGAAATCTGGCGCTTGGACAGTGACTTGCAGTGTCAGACACAGACGATTAAAGCCATCCTTTAATGCTGGCATGATTCGTGGTGGGTTGCTGTTATAGTTTGACGGCGCCCAGCGGCGTTAGGGGGAAATGTGGTGGACTGACACGCCACATGTCCGGTCAGATAGGTGCTACTTTTATATATTTCGTGAATATGACCTCTGGGTTGTAAAACACAGTGGACATCAAGACTAAAGTTCAGGTAATAGGAAACGTATGAGTTGTTAAGTTCCTGTAATGGTCTATAAGAAGTGTGTGTCAGACTAAAGGTATGTATATCTGACTGTCACTGTGTCCACAGGTTATGGAGTCTGGTGGATCACGCCCTCATCGCTCGCTGTAATATGGAGGAGGCGGTGCGGAGCGTGGCGTTCAGCGTGGATGGATACCAGCTGGCTCTGGGCATGAAGGACGGATCCTTCACTGTGCTGAGAGTCAGGTAGCACACACACACACACACACACACACACACACACACACACACACAAACATGGACTGAATTACAACCTAACACTGCTTTATTGTAATGTGTCTCAGAGACATGACGGAGGTCGTTCACATCAAAGACAGGAAGGAGGTGATCCATGAAATGAAGTTCTCTCCAGATGGAGCATACCTCGCTGTCGGCTCCAACGACGGGCTCGTGGACATCTACGCTGTCGCCCAGAGATACAAGAAGGTAGGGATGGAGGCACGTCGTCAGGTTAGGTTGGTTAAGGAATACTTTACCCCCTGTGGTACGTTTAATTTGTGAAGAAAAACTGAGCATAGCGTTAGCTCAGGCAGGACATGATGTCAAGCTCAGCTCACATCCCAGCTACATCAGCTGATCTCAAACAGCCCAATCAACTGATGGAGCAGCTGATTGATGGAAGGGAGTCAGCTGATAGATCACATAATTCCTTTCTATGCAACCAATAGGTGAATCTCATTCAAGGCGCCCTATTTAAACTGCTCTGACCTGCCTACTGTTGCTGCTTCATCTGCAAGCAGCTTCACAACCCTCCTCCACCCCAGCTCCTCCTTTTTATGCTGTGTCTGACTTGGAAATGGAAATAAAGGTTTCTTTGACTAAAGTGGTCCTGACTGAACTTTGTTGTTCTTGTATTCCTCCATGTTAAACAAAGAATCCAAAAAAACTGAGAAAATTCTTGATAAATTTATGTCATAGACGACCACATTTACCAACACCAAAACTGTTTCAAAACATTTACAGACTCCCACACAAAGTTCAGACAGGGAATCCTCTGAATGAGACTTAGATTATTGATATATAAATGATCATTTCAGGGGTGAAGGCTAATTTAGAGTTGAGAAAATAGCAATCAAGGTCCAAAAAATACTTTAGAAATTAAAGTTTTAAAACAATGCCTGGGAATTTTCTCTCATCTGAATCAACAGAAACTCCCTCTCACAATCTGACTGGTTATTTCCTCTGTCTGCCTGCCTACCTGCAGGTAGGAGAATGCAGTAAATCCACCAGTTTCATCACTCACCTGGACTGGTCTGCAGACAGCAAAATCCTGCAGAGCAATGACGGCGCTGGAGAACGCCTCTTCTACCGAATGCCAAGTGAGTCTCTCTAGTCTTTCAGCCTAATGCTCCTCAAATTTTGGGAACTTTGTAGAATCAAGAGAGATTTTTCCATATTACTGCTTACAGGGCAACGATGTGCATCATTCTGGCCTTTGGACATGGCGATGCATGATGATGTCAGAGTAACGAAGCTGCACTCACACAAATTACAACAAAACATTCTCTCACGCTTAAAGCAGAGTGTTAGTCAAAATGTTTTTGTGAATAAAGGTGTGATGTTGTAAGAATAAAGTCTTGAGAAAAGGGAAAAAATCATGATCATACCAAGGAAAAAATTATAATATTTTGAGGTAAAATCATAATTTTACAAGAAAAAGTAGGCCGTGTGTTAAGGACTAATGTGGATCTCTTGAAGTTATATGTTGTACCTATAAGAACCTTATTATCTTTAGGGTGCTTTCACACCTAACCTGCTTGGTCCGGTTAAAACAAACTCTGGTCTGTTTGTGCTGTTAGCACGGCTCGTTTGGGTTGATGTTAAAGCTGTCAGTCGAACCCTGGTGCAGACCTAACAAGCGAACCGAGATTACACCAAAAGGTGGGTCTCTGTCCACTTTCAAACAAACTCTGGTACGGTTTGTTTGTGGTGTGAAAGAAAACGAACCAACCACAGGATTTTATGATTATAAATATGTGATTTTAGCAACAGCTAAATCAACAATAAATCCATCTGCTGATGGTGAAATCTGCCTGTGATCTCATAATTGATTCTGATGTCCCATAACCTATACTAATGCATACATGTAACCATGGTTACACATGTGCACATCAGTGAGGGTATTTCCCGATTAAAAAGTCGTTAAAACTGCCATTGTTGAATCCAGCTCTGTGTACTTTGTCTATTCATTAAGTCCATTAAAAAGTGCATGACAGTGATCCCACAGTATAAAGCCCCGAATCATTACTGTAGAAGACGCCTTCTTTCATCCTGTCTCTGTTAGTCATTATTCATAACATACATTTGATTTGCAACTTAATAACAGCCTCCTAATAATGCTTACAATCACTTATTTCTCTATGAGCTCTTTGTGACACCAAAGAACAGAAATATAAACACGTTAGAAGCATTAAAGTGCTGCTGCATTTATTTCTCCTAGGATCTGAAAAATGTCCCCTTAGATCCCGAGTCCCCTGTTGGAGAATGTGTAATGATGCTAAGACACACTGTTAGATACAAGTGCACACACACACACACACACACAGTCAGATTCATGCATGTATTCATGAACTGAATAAAATGGTATGTCTCCAGTGTACCTATCAGAGGAGGGAGGAGACACATCGTGATGTGACAAGATAAAATGACTGAGATGGAGTGAGGCATGAGGCCGACTGTGACATAAATTATTATAAGATGGAGTGATGAAAATGTTTAAATCCTTCAGCCCTTGTTGACTTGGTGACACTTGTGGTTACCGTGGTAACAGCGAGTGCGGTTTGAATACTACATTACTCTATTCCGGGGGCAGCAAACTCTCCTTGAGCAGCTACTTTGTCTTTGTTGTGTTGATAAAGAAGTCAGCCAGTAATTGTCCTTCCTTGTGTTTTCATGCTGCGCACACAGACAGTAGTTTTCACAGCAGCAGCAGCAGCAGTGAAAGGAGTTGGTTATGTTGAAGAGGAGCTGGAGGTGTGCAGCTTTTCATCTGCTGCTGACTCTTCATCACCCCCTGACACATTTACAACTTGTCCGCTGACACCAGCATCAGCTAAATCACTGTCGTTGGGTTTTCTAGACACATTTTTGATGAATGATCACAACCAGTGCTAAACTCAGGAATAAATGTGTTGTGTTTCTGTGTCTGCCTCACAATGAACGCCATCCCCTTGTTCTGAGACGCTTTTAATGTGAAGCAGCAGCAGTAGGAAATTAGTGGGTTAGAATTAGCATTAAGGAGGAGAGTGAGCAGTAAACAGTGAGGCTGATATTAATGAGATTAAACTGTGTTCGATTATTTGCTGCATTGTGTCTTTTGTATCCCTTGATCATGTGAGGCCAGATTGAATCCAGCACAAATTCATTTAAAGAGTTGTAATTACAGAACGTTAATACATTAATTGAAAAAAAACATCCATCCATACATCCCTCTCCCCACCAACTTTTTCCAGGTCCTCCTGGGGCATTGCAAGGTGTTCCCAAGCCATGTGTTGTGTGTTCACCTGGGGTCTCGGATGTGCCCAGATGAACCTCCAATTTTTTAGAAGGTTTTATTGCAGAAAAAATGCCAACCATAAATGGCATAGAACATTGGGTTCAGTGTAATGAAAATCATAGGGTGCTTTCACACCTGCCCTGTTTGATTCGGTTCAGTTGAACTCAAGTTCGTTTGCCCCCCTAGGTGCAGTTCATTTGGGCAGGTGTAAACACAGCAGTCGCACTCGGGTGCACACCAAAACAACCGGACCGAGACCTCTTCAAAAAGGTCTCGGCCCAAGGCAAGAAACGGGCAACTTAGCTACAATTCCTGGTTTATATTTAATCAGCGCTGCTTATTGTTACTGTTTGATCTCAGTTTTGTCAGCCTCCATTTTCACTATACAGGAAACAATATTGCACCCACTTCCTGTTCACAATCTCTCACTTTTAAAGCTAAACGGGGAACTAAAATATGTTTCTGAAAACATAGAGGTACAATTGTAAAAAAAAGGTACAATTGCAGAATAGAGAGACAGAGCTGTCTTGCCCTTAAGCTGGTATTGGAGCTAGTGACAACACCAAAACTATGTCAGTATAAATGGGACAGCTGGCAGGATGGCATCAAGAATGGCACAGGTGTGACGTGTTATGCATGCAACCCATTGAATGGAGATTTAAAAAGTAGCTGATAGCAGTTAGCAGCTAACTCAACTCAAAGAAGAAGAACAGTGGCCAAAAAGGTCCTTAAATTTGGAAATCAATGAGGTCCAGAAGCTCCTTACCCTCAGAGCATAGGTTGAGATCAGTCGCAATATAACAGAGATGAAAAATGTGGCTCTGTGGCTCTATAGGGCACTCTGTGTAGAAATGGCTTTTGTGTCAGTGGTGGTGGCATGGGTGTCTGGAAATACAAAAATGCCGAAGAACAGTCTGTAGTTCAAGCAACAAGCCAAGAGCCAGCGAAATGATCTAGGCTCTAGTTAGATGGAGGGCATTTACTCATAGGCCAATCTGGAAATCCATCGGTTTAAAAAAAAAAAAAAAAAAAAAAAAAAAAAAAAAAAAATTCTTCCTTTACCGCTGGAGGAGCAGCCCGGAGTTTTTCGACTAACCGGAAGTGAAGGGGCCTCACACCCTTCATTTCCGGCGGTGCCCCAAGGGAATCGCTGTGTTGTTTACAAATACTTCAGGTAAAAACCCAGCAGAGTTTAGCTATATATCACATTTTTCACGTCACTATATCTCCGTGTAGACTAATCTGATGTTTGTTAAGTCTATAAACACAATGACTGAACAAACGTTACTATTTCTGTGTGTATGTAATTAATATGGTTATCTTAGATTAGCTGGGCTAACCGTTAGCTGTTAACGTTAGCCGTTAGCGTTGTCTATAACCATAGACTGTATAAAAATAAGGTAATAACTCAATAAACGGTCCATGAATAAAATATTTTTTCCAGCTAATATCTTAGTTACAACATGATTGAGCTAGCAAAGCAGTGTTGTGTTGCTACGTGTGGTATTTATTCAGTTATGGGAAATCACTATGTCTAGAAAGCATCAGTTGCTGCAGCTGACAGGGACAGTTAGCAAAGCTAACATCAGGGCGTCATCTGTTAAAATCCTCCCCTCATGAAACTACTCCAGTTAGCTCAATCATGTTGTAACTTAGACATCCGCTGGAAAAAATTTTTTTTTTCACGTTGACGAGACGGCATTACTGGAGCGGTCGCTATGGACGCGCTATGGACGCGGAGCTTGCTGTTTCTGTAGGTACACATTTCCTGGGGACAAAGCCCCGCCGTCCCCCCCCCTCTAGTCGTCTTTCACACAGGGCTGCCGACAGATTCTACACTGTAGATTGCAGAATCTGTCTTGAGAGATTACTCATAGGCTAATACCCACATTATCATGATACAGAGCTGGTTGAAAATAGGTGAAGTATCCCTCTCAGGATTTTGACTTTTAGGACAGAAATAGCAAAGAAAAGCAGTCAGGGAGCGAATGAAGGAAAAAAGACAGGATCAAACACACACTTAAGACTTCAGGAGACAGTGTGGGCAGTGCTGATGTAACAGACTGTTAATTGTCTCCACATAAGATTTTACACACAAAACTTCCACTGAGAGAAAACCAGCTCTGCAAATCAACTCGGAACAGATTTCAGTATGGAAGATTAAAATCTGCACCATCCACGTTTCCTTTTCTCGCTTCTGTCCATTACAAATGATTTTAACTGATAATAATGTGCATAGAGGCTGTTTGTTATCGTTAGCATCTACACAGAGATAAACTGGTGAAAAATGTGCTGCAGAAATGAAAAGGTTCATTTATTATTTCATTGCAGTGGGGAAGCCAATCGTCAGTAAGGAGGAGGTGAAGGGTCAGTGCTGGGCATCCTGGAGTGGCGTCCTAGGCTCAGAGGTCAGCGGCATCTGGCCTAAATACTCTAATCTAACCGATATCAACGCTGTGGATGCCAACCACGCTGCTGCCGTGCTGGTTACCGGAGACGACCTTGGTCTTGTTAAACTCTACCGCTTCCCCTGTCTGAGGAAAGGTCTCTACCTTCTTTCTTTACATGTCTTTATACTCTCTCATCTCTGCTTTGTTGTTAAATGTGAGTCATCTGTTGTCTCCAAGGAGCCAAATACAAGAAGTACATTGGTCACTCGGCCCATGTGACCAATGTCCGCTGGTCTCATGACCTGCAGTGGGTGCTGACCACAGGTGGGGCTGACCACGCCCTCTTCCAGTGGAGGTTTCTACCAGAGTCAGTCATGAATGGAGGACTCGATACCAACATACAAGGTAGGGGAACTGGGTGGAGGAAATCTTTGGGGTGAAGCAGGTCAGAGGAAGAAGAACAAAGTGGAGTCATTCAGGAATTAGAGTCAAGTCCAGATTACAATAGAGTAGATGCTGTTGTTCCAGTGGTCACTATCAGGGCTGTGGACTTCCGTGAAGTGGTTCCAGGTTTTCTTGAGAAGGTTTTAGGGATCTTTTTGGAAGTTAGAAGTGCCCTGAAAATGTTTCTTTGGTGAACTTTGGGGTTTCTTGAGATTTGTCTGTTTCTACTTTTCCACTGAGGCAGTTTGTGTGCTGGTTCAGACCCGGTGCCTTATCTGGAACCAGTTGTGGAAAGTCAGTCAGCTTTAGAAGTCCTTGGGAAAGTTTCAAGGCTCTCAAAAATGGTTCCAGGTTTTCTTGAGCATGTTTTAGGAGACTTTGAGTTCCAATGGTATTGTAAGTGTTTCCAGGTTTTCTTGATTAAGCTTTAGGGCTCCTTATGAGCTTTTCAAGGGTATCAGAGGTGTTTCCAGGTGGTCTTTAGCAGACCTCATGAGAGTATATTGTATTGGGTTTCTTAGGTAGGCTTCAGAGGTTTCTATGAGAGTAGGCTCCAGTTTTTCTTGACAAGCCTTTATCGGTCCTCAAGAGAGTTTCAGAAATCCTTTTCAGTCCCTCTAGGATGTTGCAATTGCACCAGTTTCAAATTCAGCCAACCCATTTGAGTTCTGGGCAACCTCCCAATTATGTAACGCTACCGCAAATTTGACTATTTAAAACTGGCGAAATCTCATATTATTGTAGAGCTGCACACAGTGTTTTAATTCACTCAGCCCCTCCTTTTCTTGCCCCTCCCTCTGTTTGCTCATGAGGCTACTGCTGCACCTGTGACACACAGCAACAGGTATAACTGCTGGCATTACACTGCTAACATTACCTAAAGTTTATTGATGGGTTTAATGACAGAACTGAGTCGTTTTGGTGTTGGTGTGAGTTTGTTGGGACTGTTTAACTGGTCACTGTTGGATGTTAGCGGCTGCTGCTGTGTTAGCTTGTGCTAACAGGGCAAAGATAACAGAAGGAAACCCACACCCCTACCATCACAAACAGATTCTAATTCTTTGGGAAACACTGAATTCTCATAAGAATAGGCTCCAAATCCGAGACAGCGTCAATACTGTTTTTGAAATTTTCACTTGCCTTTCAAATGCCTTAAAATATGGTAACATGCATCAAAATATTTTAGAAAAAAATGCAATTAATCATGATTTTCAGGCCGCAACAGCCACAAAAACAAATCAAGGTATCCTGGAGGGACTGCCTTTATATGGTTCTGCTTTTCCTTAAGTAGGCTTTTCGGATCTTAATGGGACTTGCAGATGTCCTTGAAGTAGTTCAGATTTTTTGAGTTGCCTTTAGGGATCCCTGTTTGTTTTTCTGAGTGACTGAAAAGGTCCCATCGGTGGTTATAGGTTTTCTTGAGTTGCCTTTAGAGTTCCTTTGTGATTATTTCAAGGGTCCAGTAGTTGCCCGCTTGTCTATAGTAGGCTTTCGCAGACCTTTTAAGAATTCTTTAAGAGTTTATGGGTGTCTTCAGTAGGCTTTGGAGGTCCAAGAGTGGACCTAAACTGGTTTAGATCAGTGAGTTTAACAACTCTTCTCTGTCTGTGTCTCCTCTGCAGACAGTCATGGGGACTCAAACAGTGAGGAGTCAGACAGCGACGTGTCGGATGTCCCGGAGCTCGACTCCGACATTGAGCAGGAAACACAGATCAACTACGACAGACAGGTACGGCCTGCACGTCAGAAGCGACTGTTTCCATGGTGATCCATAGTCCCTGAGCAAGGCACCGAGCCCTCAGCTGCACCAAAGTGGTTTCTCAGAGCTGCTTTGAACATGTTTAAATGTTTTTGCTGCTGAGTGTATTTTAATGTAGGGCTGCACCGTATCAGCTCCTCGTTCTTATTCCCATCAGCCACAGCGCAGCAGGGCTCTGTGCAGTTGCCATGGCAATCCCAAAACACACCTTATCTCCAATGCCAGCCGCTGCCTGGCACGCGTGCCTGTGACTACCGTCAGTAGTCACAGGCATGCGTGCCAGTGTTGCAACAATGTGCTGTTTGGAGATAGAGCTCAAAGTGTGTGTGTGCGTGTGTGTGTGTGTATGACAGACGAAGAGAAGGAGTGCATGTGTGTTTAGATTTACCACAAACTCCAAAGTTTAATTGGAAAGAGCAGGAAAACATGAATTATTATAATTATTTTATTTCCCCATCCTTGAGCTGCCTTCCTACTCTCCCTGTTTTTTTTTTAATCATCCTTCCTCCCTTCAGTTTCCCCCTCTCTTCTTTTCGTCCTCGTGGTCAAGACTGAAATATTTCAACAACTATTTGATGGATTGGCTTAAAAAAAATACAAAGACATTTATGTTCCCCAGATGATGAATCCTACTCAATTTAGTGATCTCCTGAAATTTCCTCTGGTGCCTCCATGAGGTTGACATTTTGGGTATTTCATTAAATGTCTACACATGCATTGGATTTATTGCCATGAAATTTTTCATATATGGTGCTCAGAAGGTGAAGCCTAGTCTTTCTTCAGAGAAATATCACTTGAATGGATTGTAATGAAATGTAGTTCAGACATTTATGTTCCCCTCAGGATTAGCACCTCAGCAAGATGCCTGATGAGCTGCAGATCACTGTTTAAGACTAACAACAATGATTTTTTGGCGACCTTTAACAAAGCTTCCACCAGTGTTTGTGGCACCGACCCTGGCTGTTTTTTTTTTTACCAAACCTGTGTGTCTTTAGGAGCATATCGCAGTGTCTCCCCATGGAATTTGAGCCACCCAATGTGTACTCATCTTAACTTGTCAATTATCGCCAATTTGTCAGTGAACTTTCACGTCTACGTACTGTATGATGTGCAAGGTATCCTCCTGCGTCTGTTTTTGTTGTTCCAGGAAGGCTTGTCAATTACGCTTGTTATATGTATTGTGTCTTTTTCAAAATGCAATTCTGTTTTCACAGGAAATGCACAGTTTCTGCTTGTTTGATTCATACCCCTAATCCCAAATGGATCCCTTACAGACTCGTTGACTCAAGCCCTAAGCCCTTACAGACCTAGGACCAATTCCATTTCTTCCCCTTAGCGCTTGTCTTGGCCCTTCCCATTGTTTTTGCGCGTTCACGTGAGGGGAATTGGTGTCCCAATTCTCCGTCAGGTTAACCTGAAAAATACACTTACAACGTAGGTAAAACATCTCTTTTTTATGTTTATGTTCTTGTGCAACAAAAGCACATGTTTAAGTTTAGAATAAAACATATGACGTTTTGGCTCACCATTCACATGGGATGTGAACAGCTGGCTCCGGACTGAAAGTTTGATGTTTGTTGGACCCATTCATCTTCCCTCCCTCCCATCCACCCTATAGGGACTTTCCAGTTCTTTATATTACGTAGTAAGCGGCAACGTTACACGCATCATATTGCAGCAAAAGGCGCCTTTTTAGATGTCTTCTGCTGCAATGTTTGGCTCACACACACACCCAGAAAGAAGAAGAAAATATGAATATGGATATGGATATTATATTCTGATAATTTTAGATGATTTGCAGTGAGGAGCAAATAGGAAAAGTTGTGGAGAAAACAGGAAGTCTAGATTCCAGTCACAGCGAAATGGTGTGTAACTCACAGCGCTGATCGACCATGACGCTCCAGAAATATGCAGTCTCTTGTAAATGGAAAGCAGCGTGAAAGTGGAGCGCTGCCAGTCCCAAACCTCCTGGGAGCAAAGTCTCTCCCTGTGAAACTCTCAGACGGCTGAAACACGCCAACTCACCCTCAACAGAATAATTTGCATGAAAAATGAGCGGGCGTATTTTCTGCTGAGGGTGAAAAACAGGCTGTGTTCAGTTTCATTTTCTAACTAATAAAGAGAAGCAGAGAAAGGCGTGGACAGTAGATGTCATGCCGTTATTTTGAGGTTATGTATCGATTATTTTGTTGTAATGAAAGGGTCTTTCAGGAGATGATCTATGATGTCATCGTCTTGATAAATACATTTCAAAATGAAGTTAATCAATGAAGGAAAGGCAATCTCTGACAAATCAGTCCGTCACCCAGGACACCTCATATCCTGTTGATGGGACACTCTGAGACTTTACATCACAAAATATTCACAGTGCAACATGAATAAAGATTATACTATTTTTTTCATTTAACTTTAATATTATTCTTCATCTTACCTCTGTTTGGGGGATAAACAGGCTCTAAGTTTTGGAACTACAATTTTAGGAGGGTTGTAAATGGGTAGTGTAAAGTATGGATTCAGTGAGTCATCCACTGGTATAGCATATGTTTACATTTTGACAAAGTGGTGCCATTTAAAGTATGCCAAATTATCTTTTAGCAGATCCATTAACAATGAATTCTCAAGGAAGTTCTGCACTTACAAGGAGCAACTTCATTCTATAACTTCTAAGCAGTTTATGTGAGTTTATTCATGATGTACACTCGATATGACGATATCCTCGGGAAGCATAAGTCACCCTAAATCTAAAAATATGTGTATCATGTCAGTGTGTTCAAATCTGAGTTATGACTCTAAGAAATGGTATGGATTTTGATGCAAATTGCAGCACTTGAGTGCTAAGGGTTTTAATTGTGATCCAGAACAACATCTTCCAAGGACAGAAACAAAGATTAACATAAAATGTGTTGTGCATATTTAAGGTTGAAGGATGAGGATGTTCACAAGAAATATAAAAATCTAGTAGACCTCTGCAGTGAAATTTCACATGACACATTGTTTGGGTTAAACATGAGTATGTTACAGTTCTGGAGTATTATTAATGTACACCTCCTCCTGTACTGCCTTAATATGCACATTCAGCACATCCAGTGCATCAAAACATTGTTTTCTAGTTGGAGCCGCGCCTCGTTTTCAAACTGTATGGTTTGACTAAAATGAACAATGACAGCAATATAGTCCACGATGAGCAGCGCTAAAATCAACCTGCGTAGTTGTCCCTCCATTGTGACATTAGAAAGTGTCACATTTATCTTGCAAGTGTGATCTTCTTCAATGTTTGGTTTACTTCCTGGATTTTTCCCACATGGAAATTCTGACCAATCAAGAGCTTTATCTGGTCCGCTTGTAAATGCTGCCGTGAGAACACGAACCAACTCTAGGCAATTATACAACTTTGGAACAAAATTGGTCCCTGATTCAGACCAAAGCAACATTTTTATGTTAATTTTTAGTTGTTGAACCATTAATAAGAATTTTCTGTTGTATGTGTAGGAAATGAACATCTCTGTGTTTGTTTGTGTGTGTGTGTGTGTGTGTGTGTGTGTTTATGCAGGTGTATAAGGAGGACCTGCCTCAGCTGCGACAGCAGAGCAGAGAGAAGAAACAGCAGGTTGGATCTCTGAAGAGACAAAAAGGACCAGATCAAGGCCTCCGGCTGCAGTTTGTGCACGGGTAACATTTCAGTTTGTCACTGCTTGTTTATATTTACAGTCCCTTTCAGACCTGCACGTCTTTACTCACTGGCAGTTTTACAAGCACCTGAGTCACTTTACGTTAAAGAAAAGGCCCCAACATGGGTAGAGTGCTCAAAAAGCCTGGATTTAAAAGTTTGGTTTTTATTTTTAATCACGCTATTTTTACATGAATGTTGTGTGTGTGCAGGTACCGTGGTTACGACTGCAGGAACAACCTGTTCTACACACAGAGCGGGGAGGTGTTGTACCACGTGGCGGCGGTGGGCGTGGTCTACAACCGGCAGCTGCACAGCCAGCGCTTCTACCTTGGCCATGACGACGACATACTGAGCCTTAGCATCCACCCGCTGAAGGACTATGCTGCTTCAGGACAGGTGTGCGCACACACACACACACACACACACACACACACAAGATCTGAATAAATGATCTATATATTTGAGATTTGTAATCTTGAATGCAATCAGTGGATTCAAAAAGCATGTAATGTGTGTGTGCAGGTGGGGAGGGACCCAGCCATCCATGTGTGGGACATCCAGACTCTTAAGTGTCTGTCTTTGCTGAGAGGTTTCCATCAGAGGGGAGTGTGTGCTCTGGACTTCTCAGGTAACCTGTGTGTGAACATCTGTCTTTATGAGGACTGATTTAGGTTTCAGTCCTTAAAAGTGACTCCTCAGATCTCTCACTTTTTGGCCTTCAGGTCAACATACACTCTTCCTTTTTTTGACTCAGTCAGTCCACCACTTTGATCCAGACTGAAATCTCTCTGCAGCTGTTTGATCTGCATTAATGAAGGAGGTAGTCAGGAACAGCAGCTATGATCTGTGTGGTGCATCCTGATGAGTTCATACACATTGATCTGTGATGACACTCGTCAAGATGCTCTCAGTTTGCAGTATTAAATAGAAAACAGCAAAGATAAACAATGTGTGTGGGTGTTTTGAAGCGCGCCACATACTGCCTGTGTGTGTTGCCTTTAAGTCTTGTTAGTCTGTATGCACCTAGGGCTTCATTTATAACTGCTGTGTGTGCTAAACTCCTGCACGGGCCCTTTTTGAAAACCCACACCCAAATATACCCGTAAAGCTCAGTGTCAGAACCGACCTGTTACCCGTCATTATGTCTAAGCCAAAGCCGCACCCGCCCTCACCTGCAACCTGACCCACACCCATGATTAAACACACACAGGCTACAGTCACTCACATTAAGCTAGGTTCTCTGTTCTTGAATTACAAATCCAGTGGAGGAAAAATCTCTTTCACTGGCTGTGCTTGATGCAAAACATTCAATGACTGCCAGGTTAGGAAACATCTTAGCATGCTCCCTTCACCACCATAAAACCTCAAAAGGATCCTCCTTGAACTCGATGTAGGCCGTCACCTCATCCCTGGGCTGCAAAGTTTCATGGCTCCACGTCAGTGATTAATGTGACGACGGGGTCAAAGGTTCAACTTGTGTCATTGACTTTCAAAATAAAAGCAATTGCAGCTTGATAATAGTGATTTAGATGTCAAACCCGACCGTGTGCAGGACCCTGGTGTGCGCACTAAAAAAAGGCTTCTAATGTGCGTGTGCTTCTTGCAAAGCAAAAATGGGATTTAAAGAAAAAAACTTGGCGAGGGAATGTGTGCACCTGTATGGAAATTCTGACCCATGTGTATGCACATTTTGGAGACGGGAATTTCACAACAAAGATTTTTTTTCTTTTTGGTGCTTGTGACCCATACCTTTTCCATAAGCACCTTTAAATTGTAAAAATTATAAGATTACTTAAACCTCAAAACAAATTCCTACCTCCACTTTAAGATCTGACCTTTTTTTTTTTTTTTTTTTTTTTAAAGTTCAGGTATTGTTTTTTGTGTTGAACTTATTACATTAACCGCAGCAGCAAGAAGCTTCCACTCGCTGGATTTGTTTGTTTGCAACCTCGGAATATGAGACAGATTCATGTTTGGATAATTCCAAGTTGATGTGGGATTTATAAAAGGAAACGACGCACTGGTAGGTGTACATTCAGTTTCATAAATCAGAATATTTTTTTGGCGTACGTAGATTTCCTCATTTGTACGTGCGCAAACATTTAGTGTGGATTCTCTACAAAGTTTAATAAATGACATCCCTGATGACTGAGAGACCATTTATATCTCACAGATCCCCTCAAAGTCTCCGAAAACGGAGAAGTAAAGCACCAGTCCTCTAAATTATTCTTAGTTAGTCTCGCCACCAGACAATCAGAGATCTCCGCCTTCTGATAGTCTGGGGACACTCCTTTCTAAAGTGTGTTTAACACACCGGTGAAACGGCCGGCAACAAAGCAACGCCTCTTGCATTTTTGAAAAGGACACGCCTTCTCGGAAATGTGCGCTCCTCCTTTTTTCGTCCGCAAGGAAACAAACACACAGAGAGCTTGAAAATGGATGCAGAGAGATTAAACTCCGTTTTATCAAACGTGTGCTCATCCGTGAAGAAAATATTTTTTCCAGCGGGTGTCTTAGTTACAACATGATTGAGCTAACTGGAGTAGTTTCATGTCGTATCCGACAACGGGAGGCTTTTAACAGATGACGTCCTGATGTTAGCTTTGCTGCTGCTGTTAGCTGTCCCTGTCAGCTGCAGCCACTGATGCTTTCTAGACATCGTGATTTCCCAAAACTGAATAAATACCACACATAGCAACACAAAGCTGCTTTGCTAGCTCAATCATGTTGTAACTAAGATATCCGCTGGACAAGATATTTTTTTCACGGACCGTTTAATGAGTTATTACCTATTACAGACACCGCTAACGGCTAACAGGGCTAACAGCTAACGGTTAGCCCAGCTAAACATGCACACAGAAATAGTAATGTTTGTTCAATCATTGTGTTTATAGACTTTACAAACATCGGATTAGTCTAAACGGTGATACAGTGATGTGAAAAATGTGATATATAGGCTATATATATAGCTAAAAGCTCTGCTGGTTTTCTACCCGGAAGTATTTGTAAACAACAAGGCGATTCCCTCTATAGTCCGGCCGGACGGATGAGTCATGGCCTTGTAAAAGATTATGTTTGTTTCTTTTAGTTGGCGAGAATGTGTCGCCGCAAACGCGACAAACATCCACTAACTTTGACGGAGTTTTCTGCGAGCGCGGCTGAGCCATTTTGTACCGCTACACGTGTTTCTAGTGGGACTATGTTTACAAGCACAAGAGTTCAGCGAGCCACCGAAGGACTGCCCTGCAGATTTACTATTGGTTCTGCAACGTAGGAAGTTTTTTTAAACTCTGAAATTGTATCCGACCATCTAAACACAAAATCAGGGAGAAAGTCATCAGTCTTTAGTTAAGCAAAGCTTCTAAAGACTGACTTGTGAGTCTAATTCTTACGTACAATACTTTAGTAAAAGTATTAGATTGAGATTCAGACACATGCAATGAAATTCAGGTGCACTCAAGGACCGGGCTCATATATAAAAATAAGTAAATAAATGCCTCCATTCCTCTCACATTCTACACAGTTGTAGATACCACACAGTCATTGCCAATGTATGCAGTTAAAATGGGGTAAATAATAAAAAGTTCTCATGCATATTTTTGCACATGAAATAAATGATTGTGCGGAGGTTCAAACAGGTGATGAGCAGGCTAAAATTAATCTTTTAGGAGGTGAAGATGTCATCCAGGGCAGGTAGCTGTTGTTGTATAATGCTCTGTGCAGTTTTTATGATTCTCTACAGAGGCTTTTTATCTACCATACCACCACACAAGGATGCCGTATGTGAGGACACTCTCAATGGAGCAGCAGTAGAATGACACCAGAAGCTGCTGTGACAGGTTTACCTTCCAGAGCGTCCTCAGGAAGTGAAACCACTGTCGTGCCTTCTTGACTAGCGCTGTGGTGTTTGTCATCCATGATCGGTTCTCTGAAATGTGTGTGCCAAGGAATTTAAAGCTGGTCACCCTCTCCACCCTCTACCTGTTGATGTGCAGTGGTGGATGGACGTCCTGTTCTTTTGTTTTCTTGATATTGAGAGTAAAGTTATTTTCTGTGCACCAACTGTGGCTGTGTCCTCTGCAAATGTAACTGTGGTGTTATGGGATGGAACACAGTCACAAGTGTACAGAGAGTAGAGGAATGGGCTCAACACACAGCCTTGTGGGGCTCCAATGCATCTGAGTGTCAGAGTGGAGGACTAGTGGGGGGCCCATCCTGACTGACTGCCACTAGCCAACACCACACAGTCACAGAGCACATAGCTGTGATCAGAGTTCAGGTCTGTGCGTTTTGGTTTGTGTGTTTCTTTGCTATGATTGAGTCTGTGAACATCTTGGAAACCAAACAGCTGACCACACTCAGAGTTTCCCTCCCTGCTGTTAAAGATGACTAAATCCTATGTGGTGAAACCTCCTGTTGTGTTTCCTCTCTGTGCTCCTGATGCAGCTGATGGGAAGAGTCTGGTGTCAGTGGGAGTCGACGACGGACATTCAATTGTAGTCTGGGACTGGAAGAGAGGAGAGAAACTCGCTACTGCCAGGTAATGTAAACAACAACAACAACAAATACAACTGTAACTCATACTCATTTGGGCACAAGCCAGAGTGGTTCCAACTTTTTCCTTGAGGGACCCCTTTTTCTCCCATCAAGTAAAATGACGACCCCTGACTCAGTGACATATTTTATAAATATTTAATATATAATATCTACAGGATGATTTAAATGAATTTTAAGCAGATTATTTCCTGTGAATATTATAATTTTTAATAGGCTTCTTTTATGTGACAGATTCACTGTTTTTTCTTCCTTTTGCTCGCTCATTGGTTTAACTGCTGCTTTTCTAACGCAGGATGAGGCAGTTTATCAGAGAGTGAAGCCTCTGTGAATATAGCTTGTGGTCATGTCTTCACTCTGCCATTATCCTGTGAGATTTGATTTCCATCTTGAATATTAATCTAAAATTTAAAAATAACCATTTCCTTCACAGAAATGAATGAAATGCTGAGATTTGGCCGACTGTATATTTTATAAGATCTTACAACCCTCTGTGAAGCTTTGGCGGGGCCCCAGGTTTGGAACCAGTGACCTGTGACTTGTCTGTTTTTCCGCAGGGGTCATAAGGAGAAGATATTTGTGGTTAAGTGTAACCCCATGCTGATGGACAAACTGGTCACTGTGGGAATCAAGCACATCCAGTTCTGGCAGCATGCAGGTAAAACTGCAGGACAGATGTTTCACTCTGCAGGGTTAGAAACTGCTTAATTACACTCACTGTTGTTGCTGCAGCAGTGTTGTTTTGTGTGTCTGGACCCCTAAATGTGGAAGTTGCCTCTTATTGTTTGCTGGTGGTTTTTATTTGTGTTGTGTCTAATCCCTAATAGACTCACCGTAAATAAATTTACACTCTATTGTCCTTTGCTGACCTTTTGCTGCTGCAGCCGGCGTCCCAGAAGAGACAATTAAACTCTTAAATTAATTTAATGTAGGACGGAGAGGGAGGGTTGGATGATGCTGCACATTGCATCAAAATTGGTACTCCATCTCGGAGCTATAACTCCAGTCAAATCTGAACACACAAACCTGATACACACATTTTCAGATTAAGTGTGACTGGGATGTCATTATCGAATAAACGTCTATAAATTCACTCGGATATCATAGAAAAAAGACGCAGCAGAACTCCCTGAGAATAGAGTTTTCTTCATTATCTGCACAGCCACCAGTACACTGCAAACAGGAACTGTTAATAGCTAATTTAGCATACTTTTAATGGAGACTATTTACCAAAATGTAAGCAAATAGAGTCTAAAAAAGCTGGCTTGTGTTGAAGCTGACAGCTAACTAACTGAATCTGTGGCTACATTATACTTACTCTCAAGGTCCCCTAAATTATACTAACTTAACTTCATGTTTATAGCTGCAGCAGTTATTTTTGTTGTTGTGTCTGATGGAGTACTTCTCTGTCCGTCCCTCAGGTGGCGGTCTGACCTTCAGGCGTGGTGTGTTCAGGAGCATCGGCCGGCCCGAGACCATGATGTCGGTGTGTTATGGCCGCAGCGAGGCGCTGGTGTTCTCCGGAGCCGCCACCGGAGACGTCTACATCTGGAAGGAAGTGCTGCTGCTGAAAACAGTCAAAGCCCACGATGGACCAGTGTTTGCCATGTTCTCCCTCGACAAGGTGAGGAGGACAGGTGTGTCTGTGTCTGTGTATGTTTGAGAGAGAGAGAGAGATTTTGACGCGATGGAGAGGCGGCTCTATTCCGAGCTCCCTCCAGATGTCCGAGTTCCTCACCCTATCTCTAAGGCTGAGCCCAGCCACCCTTCTGAGGAAACTCATCTCAGCCGCTTGTATCCGCGACCTCATTCTTTCAGTCACTACCCAGAGCTCATGACCATAGGTGAGGGTTGGGACGTAGATGTACCAGCTAATCGAAAGCTTTGCCTTCCAGCTCAGCTCCCTCTTCACCACGACAGTGTAGCACAGCGCCCGCATCACTGCAGATGCCATGCTAAATCGATTCACACTCCATTCCACCCTCACTTATGAACAAGACCCCGAGATACTTGAACTCCTTCCCTTGGGGCAGTGACTCACTCCCAACCTAGGGTGAACAAGCCACCGTTTTCCTGCAGAGAACCATGACCTCAGTCTTGGAGGTGCTGGCTTTCATCCCGACCGCTTCACACTCGACTGCTAACCACTCCAGTGCCTGCTGGAGGTCACAGTGTGGTGAAGCCAATAGAACCACGTCAACTACAAAAAGCAGAGATGCAGTTCTGTTGTTCTTCCTCCTGAGCCACAGCTGCCCCACAATGAAAACAGGACCTGCCACTAGCTGATGCAGATTTGCCTAAAATGTGCAGAAATATATGAGTAATGTGTGTGTGTGTGTGTGTGTGTGTGTGTCTGGACCTCCTCCTCACGTGTCCTCAGTGTTCGTCATTTGGACCAAGAACGTAAGCTTAACGGCCAAAAACTAAATGACAGAGTGAGCAGTCGTGTAGTAGATTTAAATTATTTTGCTGTCGGCGTTTCTTCTTCCATCTGTTTCCTCCTCTCCTCTCTTTCTCTCCCTTCCTCCCTTCCTCTCTCTGTCTCTCTGTTTATTGTTTCAACTCTGTCTCTTCATCCACCAACTCTCCCTCTCTCTTTATGTAACGGGATTTACAGACAGACGAGCCAATAGAGGGGCTGACAGGAGAGTCTGGATTTACCAAAAACTCCTTTAAATCCACTATCCAATTATCTACGTTGCATCTCCCACTAAGGTCCAGAAATTAGAGTTAAATTACTAAGAATTTAAAAAGTGGTTTGGGTTTCAGCTTGGATGCTTCAGATTCAGCAATGTGTTCCACCACCACTGCATTTTGCTTTTAAGCAGACTTCTGCATCCCAAACAAAATCTGGGCTTGTTTCCCAAAATAATAATAATAATCTTTATTTACAAAGTTTAAATTAACTTAAAACTCGAGTAACATCAGGAAAGGCTCTCTGATAAAAAAGAGAGAGAGCCTCAGAGCCCTGACAACAAACGCTCTGCCCCCTTTAGTTTTCAGCCGAACCTCTGGAACAGACAAAAGACCCCTGAGCGAGGACCTTAAAATACATCCTGGCATGTACAGCACTAGGAGGTCGGAGATATATATAAGCCTAAAATCGCTCATTAGATGAATGAACTTCCCCTGGTATGTCCTCAGTGTCGAAAGTCTCCAGAGGATCTCAGTGCCGATTGGCTACCACGGCATGAATTGGTCGCTGTATTTCAGATTTTTCAACTCTCACTTATAAGTATATGACGCGAAATCGTGCTACTCACTTCATTAGTGCCGCTTAATTCATGTATTTCACATCATTCGTGACGCCCATCATGTTGCCTGGCAGGAATTTGTGTCTAGTTGCGTTTTTACATTGACTTTATGCACAATTCAATCGCACAAATTGCTTTATTCGTGCCCCGTGTGAGCACAACATTACAGCTTAGCTGAGGATGAAGTCATTAATGTTTACATTTCGCGCTGTCACAGCACGAGCCTTTCATCCGTGAGTAGATGCATGCTTCCTTTTGTGTGGTGATACGGATGGTAGGTGTAGGTCAGTAGAACGAAAATTGTTCCCTACATGAAGCTGCTCACGACATGTCATGATTTCTGGGGGGGGACATTGCTGTTGAGTTTCTCAAATACATTTTTTGGTGCTTTGAGCACCACAAGCTGAGTGCCATCTAGTTCTATTGTATCCTCCTGAGACCCGAACTTTTGTTTGGTATGTATTTTTAATTTCTCCTAGCTATTTGGAATCAGTAGGAACCAATAAGTATAAAAAACTAAACATTGTCAATGATAATTAAGTCGCACTGTCCTCAAACATGTACTTTCTAATTAACAGTGTTGTAGCTTGTTTCCGTTGTTAAAATTGGTTCAATTTGTTGCCATATGAAACTTTCAACCATAAAATGTTTGATCAGGTTTTGGACCTTGTCCACTTTTGTCTTAGGATCGGCTGCAGACTGACTTGACAGGGATGGCTGCCATCTTGTTTTTAAATGTATTAGTGTATTGTGTTCTTACTACCACTAGATGGCACAAAAAAGTGTCCATGAATGAGGACAACAGGTCTGAGTTAAGTAGAAGAAAGTATAATGTCAAGTTAACCCAAAATGTGATGTCTTCATATGAGGACACAGGGTCTGAGGAGGATATTGAAGAGAAGGCAGACATCTCTAAAGCTGATATCTCTAACACTCGGCAACTCACACCAAAACAATCTAGACTAATAAAGAGAACTACAGGTAAGAGGAACGATGTGTATTTTTGATTTTGGGATGAACTGCTTCTTTAAGAGATGTTACCTGAATGCATCATTACTGAAAACACTTACAAATGATGGTAGAGTAACGACTGCCCCCTTCACACTCTAGAGATCCTGCTGGAGGAACAAAAAGTGGCATCTTTTATTTAGGTGTTTGTCTATTTATACTTCTACTTGTATAATCCTGGACTGATCTTTGTTAAGGGATGTTCAATGTAAACTTAGGCCTTAAAGAAGAATGATTTTACCTTGTGACTCTTAGCCTCGGGTGAGGAGATTTTAAAACAAATAATCCCCTGTGAGTTTGTGATGTCACCCACACTTTCAACTTTCTGGAGAAAAGAGAAAAGACAGAGCCTGCTTCACTGCTCAGTCACCATGAGTAGTTGTTCTGCAAGAATTTACGACTCTCATGATAAAAATGAATCTATACTCGAGAAGTTTAGTCTTCCAAACAGCACACTGTCTACTTCCTAACGCTCACTTTTACAGAACATCATCATCATTATCAGTGCTCAGGGTGTCAGTGAATGTTTTATGACTCTCAAAGTACAACATCATAAAAATAGACTCTTTCCAACACAACGTCGACTGAGTGAGGAAATATCAAACAGATGTGAAGATCTCAGGCTGAGTGGGAGGACGAGAGAGAAAACCTTTCAGGGGAGGATGACAAGACTGAAGGATGACAGCTCTGACAGAGGAAGGAAGGAAGGAAGGAAGGAAGGGAGGAAGGAGGAAGAGAGAAGGCAGATGTGACAGTCCCCGAGAAGGATGTGATAGGGTCAGATAGTTGACATATTCCTGCTTTGTTTTAGTAAAGTAACAATCTGTACTCACCACTAATTTATTTAACTCATTCAGAAGCAAGGATCAGGCCACAGCAATGTGATTTTAGAGTTTTAATGAAATGAGGAAGTTGCCTGTTGGATGTTGAGGATGCACAGATGAATGTGAGGGAGGGTATGAAGATGAGGGAGGAAGTTTAGGCCGATCTGGGACGGATATATTAAAGGAAGAGACTCAGTGTGGGAGATAAGTCTCTGGAGTTGAGTCTTCTGAGCCAATCAAGAGTATGAGGGATGAGGTGGGTCGAGAAATGTGAGACAAAATAGACAAGATGGGTTAATCAGGTGTAAGAATGTTTGACAGGTGATGGGCGGACTGATTGTTCTCATGGTATTGGTTCCTTCCAGTTGACACATGCAAACGTAGCGAATCTTTTGAGCTCTGATGCTTTCTGCAGTTTCTCCAAGACACCAAAGCACATCTCTTCAATGCATTACCAGTCATCAGGTGTAAGTTTACATTAATAAAGATAAAATGTTTATGTTTATGTTCATTCCTGTGAAAGTTGTTGAGTGGCACATGAAGCCAAAACGGTTCAACTGCCAATAGAGAAGGTGCACTAGAGACTTTCATTGCCAAGCGGACTACTTCTGGTTTAGCCCTTTGTGACACTGAATGAGGACAAAATGATTCAATTGTACGGCTCTTCTAGACTTTCTAAATGTTATCAGACCGAATGGGTTAAATCCTGACAGTTATGACGCTCAGAAAAATGTATCCACTGATCTAGAAATGTCTCTTTTGCCATTTAAGTCAATGGCAAAAAAAGTCTCTTTGGGCTGCAGGGCATCATGTGAAAGTGACGGTGTAATTACACTGTTTGAACACTATGAAAATTGGCGTCAAAGCCCAGTGCACTTCTGGGGGGCTGTTTTTTAAAGGGAAAAGAGTCACCTCAACAACTTTGTGCTGCATTCATGTTGAAAAACAAGTTCCCAATCATATTTCATGGCTCACCAAGCCCATTTTCTTTGGTCTTCTTGAGCAACATGTTTAAACACTCTGAGCAGTAAAATACAACACATCTCTTTTGAAGCATCCATGCCGTTTCTACACTACAACCTACAGGTCACGAACGCACCAAAGCCGGTAGAACGACCATCCGAGGAGCACAGTGTTGTGTCAAAGACGGTTTCCCGGTTGATGTATGTTTCTCCCTACCTAAATCTGAACCAAAGTTTCAGCTCTGCGGTTCTTGTTGCTGCACTACGTTACTGCATGACAACATATTAAGCAGCAGGAAAAGGAGTGCCATTGTGGTAGGAGACTAATTAAGTGGTAAACTAACCGCTCTCATCTTATTTATGAAATATAGCCTGAAGTGTTCTCGTCAGATATTCCAGTCAACAGGAGGCTGGTATTGCTGCAAAATAATGTTTTTGGATGCACAGTAAGACCAAGAGATGTTACAGAAGTGTGATTTGACTACAGTGATTTGTTATCCCTGGGCAAGCAACAGATGCCCCTCCTCAAGTCAGCAATTTATTTGGTCTTGTGTAATTTGTGAAGCCGCCAGGCTGTCTGAACTCAAGTTTGATTCAATCGCTTCTCTTTCACTCACCATACAAGCAGCGTGAGCAGTACGCTACGGTTACTGTGAGTGGAAAAATTGGGGATTCATAAGGACTCAGGTGTTCGACAGGCTGACCTGACACTGAAGAGTTGTTTAAAAAGATTTGTTTGTTCACTTTTGCCCATCACTATTAGCAACTAGGCTCTGCTCCCAAACCTGAGTTAACCTGAGAGCATTTACACAGTACTGTGCTGAAGAACAATTTCAATGTACTTGTTTTTTACTTTCCACTGCACTGCGTTCATCTGACAGCTTTAGTTACTTTTCAGATTACATTTTTCATCTCCTTCCTGTCCAGTGAAAACTATGCATCTCCAGGTGTGTTGATGTTGACTGTTTGTGATAAACTGAATGATAAAGTGTTTCTTTATGTGCTGAGAAAATTCTCCTTCTCAAGCTAAATAAACTCTTAAAAACAACCTGTTGGATCAGCTGAAAAATGCATCGTCACAAAGCTGAACACAAGGCTGTTTTCCCAATGAGTACTTAAGTTATTTTCTGAATGCAGGACAGGAGTATTTTCACACTGTTGTATTAGTACTTTCACTGAAGCAAAGTATATGAAAACTTCTTCCACCACAGCTAGATTATTTCTTATAATTGTGAAATCAATAAATATAATAATTTACTTTCAGGGCTTTGTGACGGGCGGGAAGGACGGCGTTGTGGAGCTGTGGGACGACATGTTTGACCGCTGTCTGAAGACTTATGCCATCAAGAGAGCAGCGCTGTCCCCGGGCTCTAAAGGTACACACAGCTGCAGTATATTTAACCCTGATACCAAGTGTGAGCCCTCGAGCATGTATTTGAAGAGGCGAAGACATGACAACAAGTCCTCACTTTGCAAAAATGCTTGATGAAAGCATTCGTTTGTGGGGAAATAGCAGAGAGAGCTACAGCTGCAGCCTGCACCTGGTTGATAAATGCTACTGTCTATCTCTGTCACTATAGTGTGTGTTTGTAAGCACTTATTGTTTTATTTCAGTGAAGTCAATAACTTAATGAATAGTAAAACAATGTGTTACACTGGCCGCTGTAAGAGGTGTCTGTTATGTAGTTCGGTTTGTACATTAAATTATGGTAAACACAGTTATAGTTGCTGTCCTTGTTTAGGATTCTCAGGCAATAGAAACAGTCAAACTCTTTAATCCAACACTGCCATCTGGTGGACACATGGTGACACACACCTCTGTACACAGAAATGTCTCTGTTTTGGGAAGTTACTGACTTTATTCTGTGTGTCTGTGTGTGTGTGTGTGTGTGTGTGTGTGTGTGTGTGTGTGCAGGCCTGCTTCTGGAGGACAACCCGTCCATCAGGGCCATCACTCTGGGTCACGGTCACATCCTGGTGGGAACCAAAAACGGAGAAGTTCTGGAGATCGACAAGACCGGACCCATGACGCTGCTGGTGCAGGTATGTTGGGAGTCATAAAGGTCTGGTTTGTGTCTGGCCACTGAGTGTCTGTGACAGTCAACACATGGATGGATTACTGAACATGCAGAGCTGGCACAGGCCCAGGGGTCCAGAGTTTCAGAGGTCCCCACTGGCCTTCATCTGCATCAAACTACTGGAACACTTACCAGAGAGGAAAAGACTCAAAATGGCCACAAAGAGACACAAAACAACTACAAAATGATTTTAAAGAGACAAAATAAAACAGAAAAAGATGCATAATGGCAACAGAGAGTTACAAATCCACAGAGTCTGTATCATGCTCTGATGTAAGCGAGGAGATGCAGTCTTGTGCATATCTGTGCCCAGGGGCTCATTGTCTCATAATCTGCCCCTGACTCAACATTTTAACCTCTGACCAGACCAAACCTCAAGGCACATTAAACTGTGGCGGGTAACCATGGCAACAGTACTGATGCTTCTGGCTCTGTTAGCAGTTAGCGGACTCTCCTCGGTCAGACACAGTCACGTGTCCGTTAAATCTGAATGTTTAGCCACTGGGTTCGCTTGCTCACAACATTTCCCAAAATGCAATACGTGATGAACACAGAAGCCCTAAAGTCTCTAAGGTGATTTCATTTATCTTGTTTGCACAAGATAAATAAGTTCTCCCCACAAAATAAATCACCTGTCTCCACAAGATAATGAACTTGTGCAAACAAAAAAGAACAGAAAAATCACTTTTGGGGGGATTAAGGGGCTGTGGAGACGAATGACTGGAGGTTCAAACTTTCATTATAGACTGTTAAAACAATCTCACCTGGAGATCTATTCAGTGGCTGCTCTGGATCTGTTGATCACATCATATGATCCCAGTTTTAATGGATGTGTAACTTTTAAGATCTTTGAAAATTGAACATCTACATTTCCATCGTCCATCTGCTGAGGAAGATTCATGTCCTCGTTCATGTCCGTGTGTGTGTGTGTGTGTGTGTGTGTGTGTGTGTGCGTGTGTGTGTGAGGAAGAGAGAGGGTGACCTCAGGTATTTTTAAATGTCTGGTAGTCTGGTACGGCACCTGTTGCCATGGTGAGGAGAGCTGTCTGCTGCAGATCGATCAGACACACGCGCACACACACACACACACACACACACACACACACACACACACACACACAGATCTCCACACTTTTTTGGTCTAGTCTTGTGTGTGTGATGTTTTCTGAGTGCTTTTAGATGCTGGTTGTGATGTGATGCATGCAGAAGTGTGTGGTGATGTGTGTGTGTTCACAAATGTGTTGTGTGTTTGTGAATGTGTCTGTCAAAGATTTGGTTTTAGGAGTGAAGGTTTAGTTTTCCCAATGAAGTTAGCAACCAGTTAGAACAAAATGTATTAGATGGATAGATAGATAGATAGATAGATGGATAGATAGAATGAAATGCAAACACTCTGTCCCAAATGAGCCTCTGGGGCTCTCTGGCAGAAATCTAATTATTGATCTTTTGATCTTTTTCCTAAACAATTTTCTTCCTGCAAGTAGTCCTTCAATCAATCAAAGTGAGTGGGTCCAGTATTGACTAGTGTGTGTGTGTGTGTGTGTGTGTGTGTGTGTGTGTGTGTGCGTGTGTATGTGTGTGTGCAGGGTCACATGGAGGGTGAGGTCTGGGGTCTGGCCCCTCACCCCCTCCTCCCCGTCTGCGCCACCGTCAGTGATGATAAAACCCTGCGACTGTGGGAGACGTCAGCCAATCACCGCATGGTGGCCGTCCGCAAGCTGAAGAGAGGTAAAGAGACAAAGAAGCAGACTGCCAGTTTTATCATGGTTTTGCCCATCAACTAAGGCTCCTGTATATTTGACATCATCTTCCAGTTTATACACAGCCGCTGGTTTCACTTTGTTTCTTTGAAAATCAACTTGACTTTAAACTCACTTCAGAGAGATGATCCAACACTGGTGTTATTCTCCTTCGGTTCACAGAACGAGCTTCGTTCAGCTCTCACATCTGAGTTATAAGAGTCATCTTCACATCAGCAAGCTTTTCAATGCAAGAAGTGACCAAATACAAGCTATTAATTGTGTATGATGATGGATTTTTGTTGGTTGGTTGATGTGGCTGGGCTAGAAGTTTCCCTCTGCTTCCAGTCTTTGTGCTAAGCTAGGCTAAAGACGTCCTGGATCTATGTCTGCAATGGGGCTGAAACTCATATCCATCTTTTTTATCTGACCCTGGGAAAGACAGAGAACAAGAGGGTTTCTATGATTGTTGGACTGTTTCCATCCATCCATTTTCTGCCTCTTATCTGGGGCTGGGTCACAGGGGCAGCAGGCTAAGCAAAGCAATCAAAACGTCCCTCTCCCTGGCAATATTTTCCAGCTCCTTCTTGGGCAGGGGTCCGAAACCTTTACCATCAAATCAGCCATTGTTGGACAAAAAATAAAAAAATCTGTCTAGAGCCTCAAAATATGTTGGAGCCTTACGATGAAGGCAACACACCCAATTACGCCACATTACTAATACGTCTTACTGAGCATTCATTAATACACTGCTCAAAAACAGTAAGGGAACACTGTATGGTCACAGTCCAAAACCAAGTCAGTCAAACTTCAGGGATATCAATTTGTCCATGTAGGAAGAACAAGTGATTGTGAATTCATCTGCTTTGGTGCAAATGAAAGTGACAACAGGTGCAATGGAGAGACAAAAGCAAGACAACCCCCAAAAAGAGAATGGTTTTACATGTGGTGTCCACAGACAGTTGCTCTCTCCTGACTGATTCTTCTCTAGTTTGTGTTCCGCTAGTGTCCTTGTCACTACTGGTAGCATGAGGTGCTACCTGCAGCCCATTCAGGTTGCACAGGTAGTCCAGTTTGCTGTGTCTCCCAGTACAGTCTCAAGAGCATGGAGGAGATACCAGGAGACTTGCCTTTACACTAGGAGAGCTGGACAGGGCCGTAGAAGGGCATCAACCCAGCAGCAGGACCAGTATCTGCTCCTCTGTGTGAGGAGGAACAGGAGGAGCACTGCCAGAGCCCTACAAAATGACCTCCAGCAGGCTACTGGTGTGCATGTTTCTGACCACACTGTCAGAAACAGACTCCGTGAGGGTGGCATGAGGGCCAGATGTCCTCTAGTGCACCGTGCAGCTGGATTGACATTTGCCAGAAAACACCAGAAATGGCAGTAACATCATCCAGCATGACCAGTTTGGTGGTGGGTCAGTGATGGTCTGGGGAGGCATATCCTTGGAGGGTCACACAGACCTCCATGTCATAGCCAACAGTACCCTGACTGCTGTTAGGTACCAGGATGAAGCCCTGCCCCTGTCCTGAGGGAACATCTTGAAGTTAGGAGGTAGAAGTGTTTTGATTTTTAGGTGATGTACAAGTAGCACCCTCTCTCAGTCAGTTTGAGCATTCTATGGCTCTGTTTTATAGTGAATAATAAAGAGCTGACGGGAAATGAGGGGCGAGACAGAATGACATGCAGCAAAGCTCCCTGGCTGCACTGACATTGGCATCAGACTATTTCCAAGTCACAGAGTAATCAAATCACCGCAGTGATTAACTCGATTATTAACAAACAAGGTAACCACCTGACTCTGTGTCTGTGTGTTTTCCAGGCGGTCGCTGCTGTGCCTTCTCCCCTGATGGGAAGGCATTGGCGGTCGGTCTGAGCGATGGCGGCGTGCTGGTGGTGAACGCAGACACACTGGAGGATCTGCTGAGCTTCCACCATCGCCGCGATGCCATCTCTGACGTCCGCTTCACACCAGGTACACACTCACACATAAACACAAATATAAATCTGACTGTTTAAAGATATAGATCCACTCATCTGATTTTCTTTCTTACACACGGCGTCAGACTCAGGTAAATTCCTGGCGGTGGCGTCCCATGACAGCTTCGTGGACATCTACAACGTGCTGACCAGTAAGAGAGTGGGGATCTGTAAAGGAGCGTCCAGTTACATCACACACATCGACTGGGACGTTCGAGGTAACACACAGTGCTCTACATCTTTACCTGCTGCCCATTTATATAGTCCACCTCCACCCACACATGTTCCCCCTCATTGTGCAGAGTGATGTCTGTGCAGCATCAGGCACTTAAACTTTTAAAATAAAGAATATATTTACATATTCATGGACTCTGAATTTTAACATGATGGCAAACGAGGTGATTATAATATAATAGTCTATTGATGAACTTTTAAATAAACAATTCAGCATTTGTAGGGAGATTGCATTATGTGTGTGTGTTTGTGTGTGTTGCAGGTAAACTGCTGCAGGTGAACACAGGAGCCAAAGAGCAACTTTTCTTCGAAGCTCCGAGAGGAAGAAGACAAACCATCAGGAACTCTGAGGTCAGTGTGTGTGTTTGATGTGACAGATAAACACCAGGGGAAAAACAAGGGTGGATAAACTTCTTACAATGTGAATGGCAACTGAGCGTAATGTTCTTCACTATCTTTTTAATGTAATTAAGTCAACAAAATAATCCTGCTATTTGCAACACTTGTTACGGGTCATTCAACTGAAGTGTTATTGTCCTTTTTCTCTGTTTCTCTGTGGAGCATTATTTTACCTCACTGGTGACTGATCATGTGTGTTATGTCACTGTGTGTAGCTGGAGCGGGTGGACTGGTCCACCTGGACGTGTGTTCTGGGTTCGAGCTGTGACGGGATCTGGCCGACACACAGCGACATCACCGACATCAATGCCGCATCGCTCACCAGAGACCGAACGCTGCTCGCTACCGGAGACGACTTCGGCTTCCTCAAACTGTTCAGCTACCCTGTTCGAGTACGAGAGACGGAGTCACTGGTTACTGTGTAGAGTCACACTATACATGTGAACGTTTGCACGAGAGAAACACTGACTGTTTCAGCTCAGCGATACAAAAACATCAAGACGTTAACAGTATTAGAGAATTTACTGACCCTGAGCAAGACTTTCTTTACTTCCCCTCTCTTCTTTACTGCATTGTTGAATTCCTTATGTCTTTCCTTGCCTCTTTCTTTCCTTGTTTCCTGTCTTCAGCTAATCTTGGAACAAAAAAAATCTTTTATTACCAAAAAAAAGAAAGCTAAACTCTCCTCTTCCATACTCCTTCATCAGGTCATCGGGTGTGTTTCTGTTCCCCCTCCAGGGTCAGTACGCTCGTTTTAAGCGTTACGTGGGCCACAGCGCCCAGGTGACCAATGTCCGCTGGGCTCAGGATGACTCCACCCTGCTGACGGTAGGCGGGGCCGACACCGCCCTGATGATCTGGGCGAGGGAGCGTGGAGGAGGGGTCAGTGGAGAGGGGGAGGGGCCTCTGTGCCGCGACAACAGACCGGTTGTCGACAGCGAGGAGTCAGACGATGACATTGAGGAGGATGGAGGTAAGTTCTGTGACTAAAGACCCCAACTGATTGAACAGAATTTGAAGACACAGGAAAACAATAACGAGAATCCAGAGATGTAGAAAATTCCCTAAAATGACATCTCTTTACGCTCAAGGGACATAAACCTCTCGTGGGCGTAATAATTTTGACGAGAGCAAAACAGGAAGTCAGGTGACGTTGCTATAGAGTGACAAAGTCCACAGACTGAGGAGATCTGGGTGGATGGATCAACAACACGTGTTTGTTTCCCATTTTTCTAACTGACATTACCAGTATTGTACACTCCCCTAAATCATGAGTTAATAACCCTAGTTTTAAAAATGTTTTTTATTAATGCAAGCACATAATTTTATTTCCAGCATGCTATCTTGTTAATGTTATTGAAAGAGGACTTTGTAACTTTATTTTGAAAAGTGCTGTCTACAATATTGTTTATTATTATTGTTCTTAATATAATAATAATTATTACAGAGGCAGTCATTTTAAGTTTTCCTAAATTTCAACAAGTAGTTATTTTCCATGCTTAAACCCAACCAAACCTGAACCACAGCGATGCAGCGACACAGTGACATTAGAGAACAGGTTAATTTTTTTAACGGTAAATTTAACATGACGGGAGCTCAAAGGCTAATACAACAAATTTCTGATTCATGAATGTTTGTGCACGTGTGAAGGCTACGACAGTGACGTTGCCCGGGAGAAGACGGTGGATTACGTCACCAAGATGTACGCTGTCAGTATCAGAGAGATGAGAGGAACCAAACCTCACCAACAACTGAAGGAGGTTTCTGCAGAGGAGAGGTATGCACACACACACACACACACACACACACACACACGGTTGGTTGTTTTTAACAGCCTGTATCAGATTTGTTAAGTCCAGAGTTTAAAGCTGCATCACACAGCTTTGTGTGTTTACGCCCCCTTGTGGCAGTGACAGTGACCAATGTTAAGTTGACACTCGACTTTTCTTGTAGATTTTTCACATGTAAACCATCCTGATGTAGCCTGAGTGCAGAGTCCTGCACGGGTCCAGTTTTCAAGATCCGCCCCGACCCGACCCGGCGACGTACAAACCCGCACCCGAACCGCAAACTCGCGCATCAGGCCAATTAGTACCACAACCCGGTCCGACCCGTTGAAACACAACCCGCAGCCCGACCCGTAACCCGGATTTAAAGTAATCATTTTGGGTCATATTGGCTGAATATTGAACAGCATATCGCCACAGTTAAGGTGCCAGTAAGTAAACAACGACCTGAATGAAGCAGCTCTCACAAGAAAAACCTGACTTCAGCTCCATCATCAACCCTCTGTGTTCTTCTCCCATACAAGTGTAAAAGCACTCGTTTGTTATGTTTAATTCTTTTAAACTTTCAATCTACGTAAAGGAACTTTAGCTACATGTGTAATAATAGACTTACTTTCTGTCCAGAGCGACATTCAGCAGTTACGAGCCGTCACGTGTTTTTAGAATCCATCGAGGAGAGAAGTAATCCATCAGGGAAACACTTCAGAAACATTATAAAGTGATAGTTTTCTCAAATACCTAAATAATTATTTACTGTTTTGGAAGCGGCGCATGTTAGACGGTGGCAGCCATGTTGATTCTGTCGTCCAATCACAAATGGTGAAACGCGTGTAAACAGCTGAACCAATGACCATTGCGAAATAGCGGAGGCGATCCTCAGAGAGTAAATAATGACCAAGATAGCTATCTGTAGTTTACCGAACTAATGACTGATGTGTTTATCTAACACCCGCAATCTGACCCGCATGTTATTTTTTCCACCCAGATCCGAACGTTCCCAACCGAAAAATGTTTTTTTAAAAACCACCCGCAAATCAGCTGTTTTTGCGGGTACCCGACCTAGTGCAGGACTCTGCCTGAGTGTCAGACTGAAGCTCCCAGAACCTTCAGTCTGACATTACCTCCATTGAAGGCGATTTACAAGGTGGAGGGAATTTGATTTTTCCCTAACCAATCAGTAGAGATCAATGACTCACCCAGAATCTGACGTCATTAGTATCCATGCCTCGGGGGTGCCGAAAACAAGCGAGCATTGCCTGTTTAAAATGTCTCCGTCATCGTGCACGCCCAGCTGCATCGCCGTTAAATCCAGTTTAGCAGCTTCCTTAATTTGGTCCTCCATTAACGCGAGTAGTGGTGAAATACCTCGATAGCATCATTAATGTGGTCTGTAGGATCTGTAGCGGTCGCCATTGTTGCTATCCTCACCAGTTACCCACCGGCGTACAGCTTGACATCAGCGTGGTGCTGATTGGCTAATCGCTAGACCCGCCCCCACCCCCGGCGTTCATACGTCCTTCCATCTTTTGGACGAGATAAATCGCAAATTCATTGCAGTATGCCAGACCAGAGATGCAAGCCTACTCAGTTGAGTGGGCGGGGTCTGTGGTCTGGAACCAGGCTAATCCTGATGATGAACAAACGAACGATGGATAGCTACGGCTCCTAAGTATGGCTGGTTGGGGAGAGCTACTGCCCCAAGAGAGGGAGTTCAAGTATCTCTGGGTCTTGTTCACGAGTGAGGGGAGAATGGAGCTTGAGATGGATCGGCGGTTTAGTGCGGCTACTGCTCTGGACCTTTATGGTGAAGAGGGAGCTGAGCTGGAAGGCAAAGCTTTCGATTTACTGGTCCATCTATGTCCCAACCCTCACCTATGGTCATGAGCTCTTGGTGGTGACCGAAAGAATGAGATCGCAGATAGAAGCAGCTGAAATGAGTTTCCTCCGTGGGGTGTCTGGGCTCAGCCTTAGAGATAGGGTAAGGAGCTCAGACATCCAGAGGGAGCTCGGAGTAGAGCCGCTGCTCCTTCGTGTTGAAAGGGGTCAGTTGAGGTGGTTCGGGCATCTGATCAGGATGCCTCCTGGGCGCCTCCCGTTAGAGGTGTTTCAGACATGTCCAACTGGTAGAAGGCCTCAGGGCAGACCCAGAACAAGCTGGAGGGATTATCTCGTCTGGCCTGTGAACGCCTTGGGGTCCCTCAAGAGGAGCTGGAAGATGTTGCAGGGGAGAGTGCGTCGGGGGTGCTTTGCTTGGCCTGCTGCCCCCACGACCCAGATTCAGATAAGCAGGTGAAAATGGATGGATGTAATACTTTTATTGTGAAAAGTCTGCTGGAAGTGTTGAGATGCATTCCCGGTTACTTAACTTACTGCGTGACAGATTTTAGAACAAATACACACTCTGGAAACACTGGCATTTTTCAAACTTGTCTGTTTCAGTTTCTAGACGTATAATCTTGTTGCAGCTTTAAACTTTCAACAGTCTGTACGCTGCCGTTGTTGACATTCAGTGTGATGTCCTTTTAACTTTTGTGACTCTATAACACTGAGAGTGTGTACGAACTGAGCTGAAACTATTTCATCTTATCATTGATGTATCATCAGTGGTTACAGTGTGTGTGTGTGTGTGTGTGTGTGTGTGTGTGTGTACGTGTGTTAGTGTGTTAATGTGTGGCCCTGTATACTTGTATTTATTTATAAGTGTTTGTACCTGTGTGGTAAATCTGAAGGATTTTGCATCTCTTGCATGCACGGCTTCTGCATGATCGGTGAACGTTTTGTCTCGTTAAACAAACTTTTTGCCTCAGTTTTTCCGTGTTTGCACAACACACAGTAGATCGTTATGATTTCAGTGAGTTTCAGTCTTTAAAACACTCAACAACAAAGGGCACCTTAAAGGTACAAGATTATTCTGCAGAGTACAGCTGTCAAGCATCGAAAAACTGGCGTCTAATGTTACGAAAATATGACTCAAAATCCAACTTCCATGATACTTTAGTAACTTTAAAGCCCAGGGTCACATGTAAGAAAACCATGAGATGCTGTTCTATAAATGAGGAAAGAGATTATGATTATTTTTTTAAGTTTGCAGCACTGCAGAGACAAAAGTCGGCACTTCCACTACAGGAACTTAACGACCAGTAATGTCAGGTGTTTCCACGTCACAAGTTTCAGCACTGCACAGAGGATGACACTAAATCCAAGTTTGTTTGCATCATGAGAAACACCACAATAACGCAGGATGTGTGTTTAGATAAGTGCTACAAGCTGCACGTCCACCTCTGTTCATTTAACGACACTGTTGTTTAAAATTAATCACACGTAAATGCATGAATGTCAAAGAAAATCTTCATTAGCCCCACTTTTTCTATTGTTGTCTGTCCCAAAAGTAAAATTCCAACACCTACAATTTGCCAGTTTAGGTTATGAGATGCTCCAGTTCTCAGGTCGTCAAGTTCCTGTAGTGGAAGAGGTCTGGGTGTCTCAGTACCCTGGTGTGTTTCTAACTCTAAGACATTTTTTGTCCCTTTTGGGTTCCCTTACTTCCTGAGTGTTGCTCTCTAGCCTTGCTTGTAGAGACTCTTAATATCTGTGTTGTGTTTTAACTTGCATTCCCCTGGAGGCAGGGCATTGTCAAGTAAGTATGACCTGATACTTACTGTGAAGATGATTTTCAGACAACATATATATTATAAGTCTAGTTAAATTTTATGTTATCTGCATATATATCAGTACAAAACATGTAAATCCAGTGAGTTAATCACAGAAAATAACAACTTTATTTATCCAGATTTGATGATCTTGATTTTAAACATGTCACTTTATGCTTTCTCTGACTTTTATTTCATTTAAGGATGAAATGAACAAAGGTTTGGTTTGTGAGCGGCGCCAAAATCAGCAGGTTCTGTTGGCGTACGTTCAACTTCAGTAAATAAATAAAGACACACAGAGAGTGGACACATTCGTTTTAAACGTAGTAAAAAACATAAAATAGCAAGAGAAACATGTTTAATTTTTACATGTGTTTTTATATAAATGTAATTTTTAGGGAGATGTTACAGATGCAGCCTGACGAAGACTAGTCAACACAACATGACCACAGGTTTACTGACAGCTAGATGGATAGTAGTGTTTTCTATTAGGGCGGCCCTCGACTAAGAATTTTCCTAGTCGACCAATAGTCATCACTTAGAGCCATTAGTCGACTAGTCGCCCGCATGTTTATGATGAATGTAATTATTAAATGATATATTTTGGGCGGGGCAACACAATGGTTTGAGTTGAAGGTGTGAGAAAGAATAGTATCAGTAACATTGTTAACACTGTGCTACATTACAGAGAAATACAAAACCGTACTAATGAACCTTCATTAATATAGGCCTATATTTTATCTACAAGTGCACGTCACACACTGAGCGAGCCGCCTGTGAATGACGCTGTGGGCTAATGGGCATGTAGCTACTTCCATGTTTCAGATGATACGTCATGTTTGTAGTCGACCAATGAAGATGAGTTGACATATCACCTTGGGTTCGTCCTTCACCTTCTCAAAATGATCCCACACTTTGGATTTCCTGCCCGACATGTTATTAACTAGCCTGTGGAATAACCGCAGGTACCAGCCCTGGAAATTAACCGAACTCCTGACTGACTGCTGAGCGTGGACACTTCCTGTGTCTGTCCTTTCAAATTAAATTCCCACATGGTCCAGTCATATAGGTTTTGATTTATTTTGACAAAGCGCAGCTCCTGACAGAGTTTTTTTTATGACTAAGTAACCAATGAAATCTTGCCAACTAACAACCTTTCTGGTCAACTAACATTTTGTCGACCATTAGGGAGCAGCCCTGTTTTCTATATCCTGAATACTGAGGTTACGTGTTCAGAATCAACAAAGTGTTAAGAACTAAGACACAGATAAAAAGACCAGAAAAAGTAAAAGAAACTTTAGGAAAATGATGTTGATCTAACTGACAACTTATAACTGCAGAACTTGCCTGAAAATGATCACGTTTTCTTCAGTATCAAAGTGATCCAGCTAGCATACATCATACTTCCTGTTTACATCCCCCAAAGCATTATGGGAGCTGTGGTTATAAATCTTGGCGCATGATGTGGTTGTGTGAACAGGGGTCCACAGTTGTTAGACCCCTGCACTAATCCACCTCTCAGAGTGACTGTGCATGTTAGCCTGTTAACACAATTAGCGACGCTAGCATGTTAGCCTGACAGCCCAAAGAGCACCAGCAGCATGTTAGCATTGTGTTAGCATGTAGCTATAGCACACAGCGAGCCAGTTTCAATGAGGCATGAGGCCTTTGTGTGTGTATGAGTGAGTGTGTTGCTGTGTGTGTGTGTGTGTGTGCGCGCATGTGTGTGTGTGTGTGTGTGTGTGTGTGTGTTTTCTAAAGCTCTGTACCTTGGTTCTGTCCCTCTGCTGTCCAGGGGATCCAGGTAACACCTGTCCACCTGTGTGTCCACCTCACACTTGTGTTTATGCGACGCCTCTTCATTGTGCGTGTCTGAGTGTGTGTGTGTGTGTGTGTGTGTGTGTGTGTGTGTGTATGTGAGTGTGAGACGCTCCTGTTGGCATTACCTCACACTGTTCTTAACTTCATATCTAAGGGGAATGAATCTAGATTTTAGCATTAGAGAGTCTTTATATTTATTTGTTAGTACTGATAATGGTACTACTACTACTGCTCATTCATTCATTCATTCATTCATTTTCCATAACCACTTATCCTGTTAGTGGTCGCAGGGGGGTGGAGCCTATCCCAACTAACACTGGGCAAGCGGCAGGGTACACCTTGGACAGGTCATCAGACTAACACGGGCTGACACATAGAGGCATACTACTACTACTACTAATGATAATAATAATAATAAAATTAGCAATTGTTAAAGTTGTAGTTACAACAGTTACAACAATATTATATTTCGCTAGACAGCAAAACACTCACAGCAGAGCAGCGTCAGCCATTGGTGCAAGTTGTGAGCTGTAATTCAGCATTGAATAATCAGCTGTGTGTGTCTGACTGTGGACGGTGGAGCTGCTGAATGGATTTGTGGAGTTTGTTCGTTGCAGCTGTGGCTGTTAGCAGTTAGCTCCGCTCGTTAGCCACTGAATGGCTGCGAAGCAAGCAGCCACTGGCTGCTGGACTTCATGTGAACCCTGCAGGACTCCACTCAGGAAGGTTTCTGGGTTGATGGTGTTTGACAGGCAGGTAGGAGGCTCAGTTATCTGTGAGTGCAGCTGCGTTCAGCGGAGGTTTCTGTGACGAAGATGAAAATTTAAACCTCCAGACTGACAGGTTGCAGATTAAGAAAGAATTCAGGATTTAATGAATTTAGTGTTCTGGTTCTTAACAGTGAGATCAATAGGTCAGAGTTTAAACCTGGGAACAAATCCTAGTTGTCTCAGATTAGTTATTTGTGGTGTCAAAGTTTTTGAGAGCATAAATAGAGAGATGTCGAGCTTTTCAAATGATGATCAGTAAGTGTGTACTCATAAAATAGCCCCTCAAAAACTGCTGGAGAAATGACAGTTTATAATATTATCAATATTACTAGTAGGCTATTGCTGCACTGCTACTACCAAATCTATTCAGCACGCCAGTGCTACTATTAGTAATGTGTAGTGTTGTATTACTGCCGCTAGTTTTGCTTCTACTTTTACTACTAATACTCATAATGTATTAAATGTACTAACTTGTGTAACCACTGCCAGTTTTGCTTCTTCTGCTACTACTGTACTGTCACTACTACTTGAAACATAGGTTTGTGGCCAATGTCAGAGGCCAAGTTGCATGGTACTAACTTGTGTAAGTACTACTAGTTTTGCTTCTGTTACTACTACTACTACTACTAATAGTACTAATACTACTAGTACTGCACAGCAACTACTGCTACTGACAATGAAGTAATTGTACTCAGTATTCGTAGTACCGGTAGGTTTGTGACAGAGGTCAGGGGTCAAGTTGTAATCCATGACATATGAGAAATCATCTCTCCATTGCTGACCTGTCTGTCTCTACTGTCTCATGTCCGTCTGTATGTCTGTCTGTCTGTGGACTGACCAAGCTGTCTCACTGTTCCTTCATGTGTCTCTGACTGATTGATTGATTAATAGACTGATTGATCCTCCAGGCCTCCAGTGAGTCGAGCAGCACCGCAGCCAGAGAAACTCCAGAAGAACAACGTCTCCAAGAAGAAGAGGGTGGTGGAGGTATGTCTTTCTCTCTGAAGCTGCCTGTCTGTCTCTATAGCTGTCTGTCTGTCTGTCTGTCTGTCTGTCCATCCGTCTGTCTGTCTGTCTGTTTATCTGTCCTCTCCCCTCTGTCTCTCATAGGACCTGGTTTTGGATCACGTGTTTGGTTTTCGGGGCTACGATTGTCGCAACAATCTGCACTACCTCAACGACGGCACCGACATCGTTTACCACACTGCAGCCACCGCCATCGTCCACAGTCTCACCACTGGTAACCACGGCAATGCGGTCATAATACACCCTTTTGACCTTGTGTGACCTGTTGAATTACTTTGTTCTTTGTATTTCCTCTTTTTTCTCTTAATTTCCAGCCTCTATCATCAGCTGTAGTTTCTGTCCTGATCAGTGAACACGTCACTACAACTGTGTCAGATTAGGGAAGACATGTCCACATTTCGGAGTCGAACCCCCAACCTTTCAGATCAGAGTGATGTGTTTAAGTGTCTCCTTGTGCTGCAGGAACCCAGAGCTTCTACCTGGAACACACTGACGACATCCTCTCTCTGACTGTCAACCAGCACCCGAAATACAAAAATGTCATCGCCACTGGACAGATCGGTACACTGAGTACATGTGTGTGTGTGCGCGTGCGTGTGTGTGTGTTTCTGCATGTTAGTGTGTTTCTCTACTAACTCGTCTGAACTAAATGAGTCCTGCTTTTCTCTCCTGCTTCATGTTTAACCTGCTTGCTTTACTTTTTCACACTACGAGAACAGAAAGACTGAAAACACTAACACAGAGAAGATTTGTCTTTTGTCCATTTGAAAAAAGCAAAAAGGGACTGTAGGGAAAGTATCAGCTGGGAGGAACTTAATGTGCTTAAAAAAATCAGCAGTGATGGAGGAAGTATTCAGATCCTTTAGCTGAGGAAAAGTTATAATACCACACAGTAAAAATACTTCAGTAAAAGTATGTAAGTATAAACAGGAAAATGTAACTAAAGTATTAAATGTATGAAAATGTCCCCTGTGACTGTTATACTATTATCCATGATGTCATTAGATCATTATGACTCATGCATTAATGTGTAATGTGTGTAGGATGTTAGTTGGGAGATGATGGAGCTCATTTTAAATTATTAGCTAGTGATTATCTTGTTTTGTTTAAATGGTGAAAACAGTGAAAAATATTAGTCACGATGACTCAGAGCTCAAAGTGACACCTTCACAGTGTTTGTTTTGTCCAAACCTCAACATTATTACTCATATTTCACAATTATTAACATTATTTAAAAGGAAAAGTAGCAAATATTTACATTTGTGACGCTGATACCATGAAATATTTCTACATTCTTTAAATATCTAAATAGTTTCTCTTTTCTTTAAATGTCAGTCGACGACTTGATTAATAATCATTTTAGCTGTACTCATTTAAACTGTTGTGGAGTTTAATTTAAGACAAAACATATTTTTGCAAATCTTCATGTTTTGTTTAAGCATTGTGAATATTGTGGCTGACCCATATGATCTACATTGACCTGATTTACGCAGCAGCAGTCACCCGTTAATATCTCTCTTTACTGTCATGGCTGACGTTGGCCTGTTTTAAAACAACTCACTCCAGGTTTTTATCTGTTTTTTGTTTTGTTTTGTTTTTGTGCGTGTGTTTTGGCTGGCCTCATTTGTCACCATCGCTCTCACAACACCTCAGGTGACGTCAGTGAACTGCCAGGTAAAAACCAAACCGCCCCCCGCCTCTCCCACCACGACAGACACCCAGAGACCCAGAGACCAGCGGCATAGCTACTCCATTGTGATGTAAGAGTGTTGTCTCTGTGTCAAAAGGGTGAAGCAGAACAATCTGGTCATGTTTTAATATCCAGCTGTCTTATTAGTGTGAATTAGAAAATGTGTCTGAATCCACCATCAGTGCAGCCCTGATGTTGGTCTGGTTCTCAGGGTGTCTGTCAGCTGCATTGATCCCCTCACTGCTCTGTTTCTGTCACTTTCTGTCGTCCCTGCGACGTATTTAAACTTTACAGCTTTACATCGTGCTCTCCTCGTGTCTCGTGATCTCTACGTAGGCACCACTCCCTCCATCCACGTGTGGGACGCCATGAGTAAACAGACTCTGTCCATCCTTCGCTGTCCTCACACTAAGGGCGTCGGCTACGTTAACTTCAGCGCCACGGGGAAGCTGCTGCTGTCTGTCGGAGTGGAACCTGAACACACCATCAGTGTGTGGCGCTGGCAGGAAGGTCAGACTGACATCTGATCAATAATCAATAAAATACACCCTAATGTGTTGCCTTTATGAGGACATTTTATCCAGTTAACTTCATTCTTCAACAGGCTGTTTGTGGGTCAGTCACACCCTGTCTTTACCAGCTTCTTACTATGAGTGATGAGGTCATACATGGACACATAATTAAACAGTTTCTGATATTTAGACAAAGATATTTCTGTATTTCTATTGTCCAGTGGTGGAGGAAGTATTCATATCCTTTACTTTAGTAAAAATACTAATAGCATATAGTGAAAATAGGTAGGTGTAGGTGTAATCAGGAAAATGTATTTTAAATATCAAAAGCAGAAAAATGTCCTGTTACTGTGCAAAAATCTTTATTTGTAAAGCTTCTAAAGCTGTCAGATAAAATGTACTGCAGTAAAAATTACAATATTTCTGTGGGCTTAGAAAAGTTCCCAGAAATATTGTAATTTTATTAATATTTTATTATTTAATTTATTAATATTTTTTGTTATTTTTAAAAAATATTTTTTTATTTTATTTATTTATTTATTTATTATTTATTTATTTTATTTTATTTATATATTTTTGCTTAGCTGGCTCAGCTAACTAAGACTGAGATAAAGTCTATGTTTTTTTCTGTTTCTTTTTTTTTTTAATTAAGTTAATTATTGCCACAAAATATTAGTATTATAATACTGGCTATGATACTAATGTTGGTCTTTTTTGGTAATAAAACACTGCAGTGGGTCAAAGTAAGTACAGATGACAGGATATAAGTGTGTATGTTCAGATTCAGATTCAGAAAACTTAACTGATCCCTGGGGGGAAATTGGGAGACATTATCAGTTGCTGTTATAGTGTATATATAGACATAAAGAAATTATAAAAAGATAGAAAAGAAATAAGAAGTATGAGAGAGAAAAAATGTGCATTATGCTATAATATAACACAATATATACATACAAATATAGAAATATAATTTTTTATGTAGCATAAGAAATATAAAAATAATAAAATGTACAAATATGTGCTTTGTGCTACAAGTTAGCTAAATATATGACAAGTAAAGGTAAAAATTAAATAAGAGTTGTGTATTGCACAGTGTGTTGCAAAGTTGAATTATCATTGCTCAATAATGTTGAGGGCTTTAAGTCAGTATTGCATATTGTACAGTTTTGCAGTTGAAACAGTATTATATCGTTGAAATATAAATAATAAATAATATAATAATAAATAAATTATATATTATAGTTGCTGCTGATGGTTAAAATACGTCCAGGGGCCTGAGTCAGTGTCTAACACTTTGAGGGTGAAGATTTTTGTACAGATTTGCGTGTGTTTGTGCTTTTTCATTAATTTCTCTGTGATAATAGAATAAAAATAACAGTGGCGTCTCCTCTGCAGGATCCAAAGTGTGCAGCAAAGCCGGACACCCGGACCGGATCTTCGTAGTGGAGTTCCGGCCGGACTCGGACTCCCAGTTTGTGTCGGTGGGAATTAAACATGTGAAGTTCTGGACACTGGCCGGCGGTGCTCTGATGTACAAGAAGGGCGTGGTGGGGACGGTGGAAGACGGCAGGATGCAGACGATGCTGTCTGTCGCCTTCGGTGCTGTGAGTTACCTGCTGACTTCCTGTTTGTAAAATCTCTGCTGCACGTGACACGAGACACGACTCTGACTGAACATGACCACTGACACAACCAGTGAAATCAAAGAGCAACACAGCAGGTTGTTTAACAGAAATCAGAGGGCAAGACACTAGATACATGCCAGACGTGTAACATAGGTGCAAAAACTCAGATTGTCTTTATAAAGTACGAACACTTCACTCTGTGTGTGTTTTTATTTCACTTATAGCAGATTATTATTTTACACAGTAGATGCTGTTTGCCTCATCCTGAGAAAAACACAGTGAAATTATTTTTAATTGGCTTTGGTCTGCAGAATAACTTGACGTTCACCGGAGCCATTAACGGGGACGTGTATGTGTGGCGGGATCACTACCTGCTGAGGGTGGTGGCGAAGGCTCACACCGGGCCGGTCTTCACCATGTACACCACGCTGAGAGACGGACTCATCGTCACTGGCGGCAAGGAGAGACCGTGAGTAACACACCAGCAGATGATTACTGATGAACTGAAAACTTTGTCAAACAGCAGCATCCAATCTATCTTCTTTTATTAGATTATAGTTGTCTTCATTATAATAAGACACTGAGACTGTGGAGATGCGTTGAGACCTTTTCTTAAAATAGAGACAGTTTTCTTTTATACTTGTGGTGATACTTACACAGTATCCAGTGTTGGGGGTAAGGTGCATTTCAGCAGTAGTGAAGTAATATAACGCGCTACCAATGGGATCTCGGGTAATATCATTACATTTACAGTGTCATGTAATGCGTTACCACCTGATATAAACTGATTATTGGTCTCATTTTTCATTCATCCACACCGCTCCACTTCCGCCAGTGTACCACCAGAAAAAATATCCCTCAAAAGTTGTTGCGTGTTGTCATGTCATGATATGCTACAAGAAGCCGCCCGTGATCGGCACATCTGGGTCATGCTGCACTGTGTATTATCATGTTCAGTGCGTGTCCTTTCATACACTAGTCCTGGTGATCAGCACATCTGGGTGATGTTAGTATATGTTAGATGTGTTTCCATACATCGGCACACAACCCTGTTCTTATGCATTACTCTGTCTGGTGCTGTGGTAGCTGACTGTCACAAAGGGCTCCGGTGTATTCATTTGCGCTCGTCACAGGGACTTAATTGTGTGCCAATCTGTTTGTTGTGCTAACCTAAATATTTGTTTATTGTTTCATATCATAGGCCCACAAATATTTATCCATATCTCATATTTATCAGACTTTGATCCTCAGCCTGACCCTCCCTGTGTCCAAGACTAATCATTTATTTTAAACAGTCTAGGCTATTAATTGTTTTATATCATCACACTTATTTATAACCACTGTATGTGAATGCATGAATAGGTCAGACCTGCTCAGCACTGGATTCAAAATGAACTGTAATAAACTAAACTGAACAAAAACGCAAAAGTAGTTTAATAAGTAACTTAGTACTCTATACAGAGAGTAATATTGTTAAGTAACATATTACCTTCAAATGAAGATACCTAGTAATATGTAGTATATTACATTTTGAGAGTAACTTGCAGAACATTGACAGTATCCCTACTTAAACCTAAACCTAGTTAGTTGGACACAACTTAAATGCAAGTATGTTACAGAATATATTAGACTTTTTTCTGTGTGTGTGTGTGTGTGTGTGTGTGTGTCAGGACTAAGGAGGGTGGTGCGGTGAAGCTCTGGGATCAGGAGATGAAACGCTGTCGAGCCTTCCAGCTGGAGACGGGGCAGCAGGTGGAGTGTGTCCGATCCGTCTGCAGAGGCAAGGTGAGAACTTTTGATTTTGATCTTCACCCATCACTCTTCATCAACATCCTTATTATCAGCCCACGTCCTCCTCCTGCTCCTCCTCTTCCTCCTCCTCAGGGTAAGATCCTGGTGGGGACGAAGGACGGGGAGATCATTGAGGTCGGGGAGAAGAATGCGGCGTCCAACCTGCTGCTGGACAGCCACGCTCGGGGAGGGATCTGGGGTCTGGCTGCTCATCCTGTGAAAGAGCTCTGCATCACCGCCAGCGACGACGCCACCATCAGGCTGTGGGACCTCGCTGACAAGGTACACACACAAACTGCCCCAGAGTCATTGTTGTCTGGCAACAATAAAAAGATACTGGGAGTTTTTTCTTGTTTTGTTTTTTACTAGTTGCATTCAATTTTGAAAATAGGCAGTGTGGTGTGCGACACATTTTGCAACGTGCAAAACACTTTCTGTGTGATCAGGGCCTTATGAGTCAATCATTAGTAAAGTGTAGGTTACCCAAGAGGCACAATAAAAACAAATATAATGGTCAGAGTTGTCATGTTGACAGTTAAGGTGTGTTGATTGATTCACATCGTCAGCTCCTGCATTGAGTAACATTAAGTTAAGAAGTTAATCCATCCTTCCTCCAAACTGATGTGTTGATAAAAAAAGAAATAAAAATAGTAATAATCTTTTTTTTTCTTAAACAGTGTAATGGGTGATATAGATAATTTTGGTTTCCTTTTCTCTCTCGTTCTGTAGAAACTGCTGAACAAGGTGTGTGTCGGCCACGCAGCCCGGTGTGTGAGCTACAGTGCAGACGGAGAGATGTTGGCGGTGGGGATGAAGAACGGCGAGTTCCTCCTCCTCCTCGCCAACTCGCTGAAGATGTGGGCGAAGAAGCGAGACCGCAGCGTCGCCATCCAGGACATCAGGTAGGAGAGACAGTGGAGGAGAAAGAATTTTTAATATCCAAAAGAAGTTATTTCACAAATATTTAAAATATATGTAAATTAACATAAACCAGTGGTGAAGGAAGTATTCAGATCCTTTACTGAAGGAAAAGCATGACATACTGCACTGTAAAACCAGAATATACCAGAATGTTATATTGTTTGAGTGTTTGTGTGTGCAGGTTCAGTCCGGACCGGCGGCTGTTGGCGGTCGGTTCGGTGGAGAACACCGTGGATGTTTACGATGTCAGTGGAGGACCAAGTCTGAACCGCCTGGTTTACTGCAGTGACATCTCTGCTTTCATCCTGCAGCTCGACTTCTCTGCTGACAGCTGTTACATACAGGTATACACACACATAATATATATATACGTACTGCTGACAGCTGTTATATACAGGTATACACACACATAATATATATATACATACTGCTGATAGTTGTTATATACAGGTATATACACACATAATATATATATATATACATACTGCTGACAGTTGTTATATACAGGTATACACACACATAATATATATATATATATACATACTGCTGACAGTTGTTATATACAGGTATACACACACATAATATATATATATATACATACTGCTGACAGTTGTTATATACAGGTATACACACACATAATATATATATACGTACTGCTGACAGCTGTTATATACAGGTATACACACACATAATATATATATACATACTGTTGATAGTTGTTATATACAGGTATACACACACATAATATATATATATACATACTGCTGACAGTTGTTATATACAGGTATACACACACATAATATATATATACGTACTGCTGACAGCTGTTATATACAGGTATACACACACATAATATATATATACATACTGCTGATAGTTGTTATATACAGGTATACACACACATAATATATATATATACATACTGCTGACAGTTGTTATATACAGGTATACACACACATAATATATATATACGTACTGCTGACAGCTGTTATATACAGGTATACACACACATAATATATATATATACGTACTGCTGACAGCTGTTATATATAGGTATATACTATACACACACATACACACACACACACATACTGCTGACGGCTGTATTATACAGGTATATATACATATATATACAAACTGCTGACAGCTGTTCCTCTTGAGACCTGGTATATACACATACACACGCCTTTGTTGGTATATAGTATCTGTGACCGAACAAACAAACATTTTCTGTGGGTACAGGTGTCCACAGGAGCTTACAAGCGGCAGGTGTTTGAGGTTCCTTCAGGGAAGTTGGTGAGCGACCAGACCATTATTGATAGAATCACCTGGGCTACCTGGACCAGGTAACACACACATACTCACACGCAGTTTTCACATGAGCTTAAAAACTTGAAAGTCTGAAATGAATTCTATTTTATATCGAATGACACAAACCTGCACGTTTCATTTGATTATTTTTGGTTTGCATAAAAAAGTCATAGAATAGAATCAATAAAAGTAAAGTTTCTCATTACAAGTCAGAGTATAATATAATAAAACTCATAGGATAGTATGTCATGAAATGAAATTAAAAAGTTGTAGTATTTTGTTAAAAAGAGCATATACTATAGTATGTCAAAATAAGTGACAAAACGAATTATAGTATAGTGTGCCACAAAAAGTGATGACAAAGTCATAATATAGTAGGTCATAGAAAGAGACAAAAAAAGTCATGTTTAATGTGTCATAAAAAGTGACAAAAAAATCCTAGTATTATATGTCATAAAAAGAATGTATGTCAAAAATGTCACAGAAATGTCATAGTATGGTATGTCGTCAAAAATGTAACAAAAACAATCATAGTATAGCATGTCATCAAAAATGTGATAAAACGATCATAGTATAGTATAATGTCAAAAATGTGATAAAAACATCATAATATATCATGTTGTCAAAAATGTCACAAAAAAGTTATAGTATAGCATGTCGTCCAAAATGTGATGAAAATGTCATAGTATAGTATGTCACTAAAAATGTGATAAAAACTTTGAAGTATAGCATGTTGTCAAAACTGTCATAAAAATGTCATAGTAGAGTATGTCGTCAAAAATATGATTAAAGTTTCATAGTATAGTATGTTGTCAAAACTGTCATAAAAACATCATAGTATAGTGTGTCGTCAAAAATGTGATAAAATTGTCATAGTACAGTATGTCTTCAAATATCATGAAAAAGGTCATAGTATAGTATGTCACTAAAACTGTCATAAAAACTTCATAGTATAGTATGTTGTCAAAAATGTGATAAAAAAAAACGTCATAGTATAGTTTGTCATCCAAAATTTGATAAAAATGTCATTGTGTAGTATGTCGCGAAAACTGTCATAGAAACGTCATAGTATAGCATGTCATACAAAATGTGATTGTATAGTATGTCGTCAAAAATGTCACAAAGATGTCATGGTATAACATGTCGTCAAAAATGCGATAAAAACTTCATAGTAAAGCATGTCCTCAAAAATGTCATTAAAACCTCAAAGTGTATTATGTCGTCACAAATGTGATAACTATGTCATAGTATAAAATGTTGTCAAAAATGTGATAAAAATGTCACAGTAAAGCATGTTGTCAAAATGTCACAAAAACGTCATAGTATAGCATGTCGTCCAAAATGTGATAAAAATGTAATAGATTTAGTATGTCATCAAAAATCATGAAAAAGCGTCATAGTATAGCATGTCATCAAAGCTGTCATGAAAACATGATACTGGGGCCCTGGTGGCTTAGTGGCAGAGCAGGCGCCCTATGTACAAGGCTGTTGCCGCAGCGGCCCGGGTTCGAATCCAGCCTGTGGCCCTTTCCTGCATGTCATCCCCCCTCTCTCTCTCTCCCCCTTCACGCTTACCTGTCCTTTCCAGTAAAGGCAAAATGGCCAAAAAAAAATCTTTTAAAAAAATTTAAAAAAAAAATAAAAACATGATACTATAGTAGGCTTTGTCGTAAAAAATGTGATAACAATGTCATAGTATAGTATGTCTTCAAATATCATGAAAAACGTCATAGTATAGTATGTCACTAAAACTGTCATGAAAACGTCATACTATAGTATGTTGTCAAAAATGTGATAAAATGATCATAGTATAGTATGTCGTCCAAAATTTGATAAAAATGTCATAGTATAGTATGTCGTCAAAAATGTCACAAAAATGTCATGGTATAGCATGTCGTCAAAAATGCGATTAAAAACTTCATAGTAAAGCATGTCCTCAAAAATGTCATTAAAACCTCAAAGTGTATTATGTCGTCAAAAATGTGATAACTATGTCACAGTATAATATGTTGTCAAAAATGTGATAACTATGTCATAGTATAATATGTTGTCAAAAATGTCACAAAAACGACATAGTAGAGCATGTCATCCAAAATGTGATAAAAACTTTATAGTATAGCATGTCATCAAAAATGTGTTAAAAACGTCATAGTATATCATGTTGTCAAAAATGTCACAAAAACGACAAAGTATAGTATGTCGTCTAAAATGTGATAAAAATGTCATAGTTTATCATGCTGTCAAAAATGTCACAAAAACGACTTAGTATAGCATGTCGTCCAGAATGTGATAAAAATGTCATAGTATAATATGTCTTCAAATATCATGAAAAAATATCATAGTAAAGTATGTCACTAAAACTGTCATAAAAACGTCATAGTATAGTATGTCGTCAAAAATGTCATAAAAGTCACAGTATAGTATGTCGTCTAAAATGTGATAAAAATGTGATAGTATAGTATGTCATCTAAAATCATAAAAAAAACATCATAGTATAGCATGTCCTCAATAATGTGATAAAAGTTTTGTAATGTAGTATGTCATCCAAAATCATGAAAAAACGTCATAGTATAGCATGTCGTCAAAAATGTGATTAAAGTTTCATAGTATAGTATGTCTTCAAAAATCATGAAAAAACATCATAGTATATCACTAAAACTGTCATAAAAACTTAATAGTATAGCATGTCATCCAAAATGTGATAAAAAAAAAAGTCATAGTATAGTATGTTGTCAAAAATGTGATTAAAAACGTCATACTATAGCATGTCATCAAAAATGTGATAAAAACATCATAGTATAGTATGTTGTCAAAAATGTGATTAAAAACGTCATACTATAGCATGTCATCAAAAATGTGATAAAAATGTTATAGTATAGTATGTTGTCAAAAATGTGATAAAAAAAACATCATAGTATAGCATGTCATCAAAAATGTGATAAAAAAAAAAGTTATAGTATAGTATGTCATCAAAAATGTGATAAAAAACGTCATATTACAGAATGTTGTCAAAAAATGTGATAAAAACGTCATAGTATAGCATGTCATCAAAAATGTGATAAAAATGTTATAGTATGTTGTCAAAAATGTGATTAAAAAAAGTCATAGTATAGCATGTCATCAAAAATGTGATTAAAAAAAAGTCATAGTATAGCATGTCATCAAAAATGTGATTAAAAAAAAGTCATAGTATAGTATGTCATCAAAAATGTGATAAAAAAAATGTCATATTACAGAATGTTGTCAAAAAATGTGATAAAAACGTCATAGTATAGCATGTCATCAAAAATGTGATAAAAATGTTATAGTATAGTATGTTGTCAAAAATGTGATAAAAAAAAGTCATAGTATAGCATGTCATCAAAAATGTGATAAAAAAAGTCATAGTATAGCATGTCATCAAAAAATGTGATAAAATGTTATAGTATAGCATGTCATCAAAAAAATGTGATAAAATGTTATAGTATAACATGTCATCAAAAAATGTGATAAAATGTTATAGTATAGCATGTCATCAAAAATGTGATTTAAAAAAAGTCATAGTATGGTATGTTGTCGAAAATGTGATAAAAAATGTCATAGTATAGCATGTCGTGAAAAATGTGATAAAAATATATCATGTCGTGAAAAAATGTGATAAAAAAAGTCATATTATATAGTATGTCATCCAAAATGTGATAAAAATGTTATAGTATAGTATATCATCAAAAATGTGATAAAATTGTTATAGTATAGAATGTCATCAAAAATGTGATAAAAATGTTAAAGTATAGCGTGTCGTCAAAAATGTGATTTAAAAAAAAGTCATAGTATAGTATGTTGTCAAAAATGTGATTAAAACATCATAGTATAGTATGACATCCAAAATGTGATAAAAATGTTATAGTATAGTATGTCAACAAAAATGTGATAAAAATGTTATAGTATAGTATGTTTTCAAAAATGTGATTAAAATGTCATAGTATAGCATGTCGTCAAAAGTGTGATCAAAAAAGTCATAGTATAGCATGTCATCAAAAATGTGATAAAAATATTATAGTATAGCATGATGTAAAAAATGTGTTTAAAAAAAGTCATAGTATGTTGTCGAAAATGTGATAAAAATGTTATAGTATAGAATGTCAAAAAAATGTGATAAAAATGTTATAGTATAGCATGTCGTCAAAAATGTGATAAAAAAAAGTCATAGTATAGTATGTCATCCAAAATGTGATAAAAATGTTATAGTATAGTATGTTGTCAAAAATGTGATTAAAAAAAGTCATAGTATAGCATGTCATCAAAAATGTGATTAAAAAAACATCATAGTATAGCATGTCTTCAAAAATGTGATAAAAATGTTATAGTATAGTATATCAACAAAAATGTGATAAAATTGTTAAAGTATAGAATGTCAAAAAAATGTGATAAAAATGTTATAGTATAGCATGTCGTCAAAAATGTGATAAAAAATAAGTCATAGTATGTCATCCAAAATGTGATAAAAATGTTATAGTATAGTATGTTGTCAAAAATGTGATAAAAATGTCATAGTATAATATGTCATCAAAAATGTGATAAAAACGTCATAGTATAGTATGTCTTCAAAAATGTGATAAAAATGTTATAGTATAACATGTCGTCAAAAAATGTGATTAAAATGTCATAGTATAGCATGACGTCAAAAATGTGATAAAAATGTTATAGTATAGTATGTTGTCAAAAATGTGATAAAAATGTCAGTATAATATGTCATCCAAAATGTGATAAAAACGTCATAGTATAGTATGTCATCCAAAATGTGATAAAAATGTTATAGTATAGCATGTCGTCAAAAATGTGATTAAAAAAAAAGTCATAGTATAGTACTGTATGTCATCCAAAATGTGATAAAAAATGTTATAGTATAGTATGTTGACAAAAATGTGATAAAAACGTCACAGTATAGCATATCATCAAAAATGTGATAAAATTGTTACAGTATAGCATGTGTTCAAAACTGTCATGGAAACGTCATAGTATAGTATGTTGTAAAACAAAATATGATAAAAATGTCATATTATAGTATGTCTTCAAAAATCATGAAAAAACGTCATAGTACAGTATTTCCTTAAAACTGTGGTAAACACGTCATAGAATAGCATGTTATAAAATGTATTGTATGCTCTTCAAAAACTGTAAGAGCAGATCAAGAGGATCTAACAAAAACTTTACATCAGAACAGTTTTATTGGTCAAACGTGAACACACACAGTGAATTTGGTTTGTCATTGCTTCCATGTACTTACACAGAAATTAAAATAGGACAATAAATCTGAACATTGTAACATAAACATATCAATACTACTTACAGATATTAATATACATATATATATACAGTGTGCTAAGATTTCTTTTTGAAAGTGATGATTTATCACACAATTTAAAAACTGTATTGAAGTACATAATTGACAAGGTACAGTGCATGTTAGTGTTAACAGGGTAACTGAACAGGGATAGTTTGGGGGTAGTAGTGCTTTGAGACAAAACTTCTTGTTTTTTTTCTCCCTCAGCATTCTGGGCGATGAAGTTTTGGGGATTTGGCCACGAAATGCAGACAAAGCGGAAGTCAACTGTGCGTGTGTGTCCCACGCCGGCCTTAACATCGTCACCGGTGATGACTTTGGATTGGTGAAACTGTTCGACTTCCCCTGCACAGAGAAGTTTGTGAGTCACCAACATTTACATTTGAGGTTGAAACAGGAGGAAAGTTTAGTATGATTAGTATCAGCAAGTATAAAAACATCACAGCACGCTTTGTATGAGAATAAAAAAGATCAGCTATTTATTTATTTATTAGTGAAGAGAAATGTGAGTATTCTTTTTTGTTTGCAGGCCAAACACAAGCGCTACCTCGGCCACTCGGCTCATGTGACCAACATCCGCTTCTCCCAGGAAGACAAATACGTGATCAGCACAGGAGGAGACGACTGCAGGTAAAACTGATCACTGATCGATAACAGACGATCATCTGAATACATGATACAAGAGAGATATATTGATATTTCTATCACTGCACATGAGTTGCTGTGTTCAAAACATGATGGGTGAATGGTCAAGTTACGAAAAGTCTAACAAAACATTTTATCAAGGAACAAATCATGATAATGAAATATTATAATTGATCATATGTTTATAAAAAAGGAAGAACATCACAAAAACTCATGGTATATTATTAAGGAATATCTTTTAATGAGATCACAAAAAAAGTCATAGTAAAGTCGGTGAAAAAAACATATCACTAAATGTCATAGCATTGTATGTTGTCAAAACTATGTATGTCGTCCAATTCGTGAAAAAAAACCATAGTACAGCATGTCGTCCAAAATGGTGTAAAAATGTATAACATGTCCAAAATCATGAAAGAAACATCATAGCATAGTATGTTGTCTAAAATCGTGAAAAAACACCTTAGTATAACATGTCGTCCAAAATCGTGAAAAAACGCCATAATATAGCATGTCGTGCAAAATCGTTAAAGAACATCATAGTATAGCATGTCGTTCAAAATCATGAAAAGACTTTATAGTATAGTATGTCGTCCAGAATCATGAAAAAACATCATAGTATAGTATGTCGTCCAAAATCACGAAAAAACGCCATTGTATAGCATGTCGTGTAAAATCATGAAAAACGTCATAGTATAGCATGTCGTCAAAAAACGTGAAAAAATGTCATAGTATAGCATGTCGTCCAAAATCGTGAAAAAACATCATAGTACAGCATGTCATCCAAAATCATGAAAAAACACCATAGTATAGCATGTCGTCCAAAATCGTGAAAAAAAGTCATAGTATAGGCATGTCGTCCAAAATCATGAAAAAACGTCATAGTATAGCATGTCGTCCAAAATCATGAAAAAAACGTCATAGTAAAGCATGTCGTCCAAAATCATAAAAAAATGTCATATATAGCATGTCGTCCAAAATCGTGAAAAAACACCATAGTATAGCATGTCGTGCAAAATCGTGAAAGAACACCATAGTATTGCATGTCTTCCAAAATTGTGAAAAAACGTCATAGTATAGCATGTCATCCAAAATCATGAAAAAAAAAGGTCATAGTATAGCATGTCGTCCAAAATCATGAAAAGACTTTATAGAATAGTATGTCATCCGAAATTGTGAAAAAATGTCATAGTATAGCATGTCGTCCAAAATCATGAAAAAAACGTCATAGTAAAGCATGTCGTCCAAAATCATAAAAAAATGTCATATATAGCATGTCGTCCAAAATCGTGAAAAAACACCATAGTATAGCATGTCGTGCAAAATCGTGAAAGAACACCATAGTATTGCATGTCTTCCAAAATTGTGAAAAAACGTCATAGTATAGCATGTCATCCAAAATCATGAAAAAAAAAGGTCATAGTATAGCATGTCGTCCAAAATCATGAAAAGACTTTATAGAATAGTATGTCATCCGAAATTGTGAAAAAATGTCATAGTATAGCATGTCGTCCAAAATCATGAAAAAAACGTCATAGTAAAGCATGTCGTCCAAAATCATAAAAAAATGTCATATATAGCATGTCGTCCAAAATCGTGAAAAAACACCATAGTATAGCATGTCGTGCAAAATCGTGAAAGAACACCATAGTATTGCATGTCTTCCAAAATTGTGAAAAAACGTCATAGTATAGCATGTCATCCAAAATCATGAAAAAAAAAGGTCATAGTATAGCATGTCGTCCAAAATCATGAAAAGACTTTATAGAATAGTATGTCATCCGAAATTGTGAAAAAATGTCATAGTATAGCATGTCGTCCAAAATCATGAAAAAAACGTCATAGTAAAGCATGTCGTCCAAAATCATAAAAAAATGTCATATATAGCATGTCGTCCAAAATCGTGAAAAAACACCATAGTATAGCATGTCGTGCAAAATCGTGAAAGAACACCATAGTATTGCATGTCTTCCAAAATTGTGAAAAAACGTCATAGTATAGCATGTCATCCAAAATCATGAAAAAAAAAGGTCATAGTATAGCATGTCGTCCAAAATCATGAAAAGACTTTATAGAATAGTATGTCATCCGAAATTGTGAAAAAATGTCATAGTATAGCATGTCGTCCAAAATCATGAAAAAAACGTCATAGTAAAGCATGTCGTCCAAAATCATGAAAAAATGTCATATATAGCATGTCGTCCAAAATCGTGAAAAAACACCATAGTATTGCATGTCGTCCAAAATCGTGAAAAAACGTCATAGTATAGCATGTCGTCCAAAATCGTGAAAAAACGTCATAGTATAGCATGTCGTCCAAAATCATGAAAAAATGTCATAGTATAGCATGTCGTCCAAAATAGTGTTAAAACGTCATAGTACAGCATGTCATCCAAAATCATGAAAAAATGTCATAGTATAGCATGACGTCCAAGATCATGAAAAAAAAGGTCATAGTATAGCATGTCGTCCAAAATCGTGAAAAAACGCCATAGTATAGCATGTCAAAAATATATTTGAAAAAATCACAAACATTATCTATAAATAAGATTCAAACAATGTTCATTTGTGTGTTGCAGTGTGTTTGTGTGGAAATGCCTGTAAAACACAGAGACTTCGCCGCCTGGTGACGCTTTTATCCAAAGCGCCTTAACAGCACCACAAGTGGATCCAGAGGGAATTGAACCCACAACCTTGAATCTTTGCTCTGCAACATTTCTTGAAGAGTTTAGAAACTAAAGGTGGAGGAAGACTCACCGTAACACAAGGTCGACTTCAGCGATGAGACGTTTAGTTTCTGTTTTCTGGTGTCGACTGCAGCCTGAGACGCTTCACGATTGATCACATGACCTTGAACAGGAACAAATGAAGACACGTAAAGAACCAGAGGAATCTTCAGATGGTTTTTCTTCTTCTGATTTTGGTCCATGTGGATTCACAACTGCCCCGTCAGAAGCCAACCAGGGCTTTGGAACAAAGATCATGTGACTCAGTACGACACCACCACCACAGTGAAGCAAAGGTTAAACTTACTCTCATGTTGTTCTGCTCCAGCACCATCCCTCTCCTTCTACCCAGAAGGCCTTGCACAGTATTGTCACTGTAGTCAGTGCGCCTTGAGATCATTCATTGATCATGTGACTGATCTGGAGTCACAGAAAGAGGAAGCGGGTTCAACACAAAGAAAAATCAGAAACCATCAGTCCAGGGGGCAGATACAGAAAACTCTGTGTGCACACAAGACAGAAATATGTATTTGTATTTGTCACATGTATGAAGACTGACTGTTTTTCTCACATGCACAAGCCTTATTTCCACCCCTGACATGTAACATGCCCTTTAAAGGACAAGTTCACATTTTATCACGTCTTTTTTAAAATAATAAACATGACTTTGTGTCTATTACTGTTGAGAAGTTTGTAATCTTGCTTAACTAGCTCCAGTCAGATGTCTGAGAGGACAGTCCTCTAAAAATACACTTTACAGTACCCACTGAGTCGACTGCAGAGGGCCCAGAGAAAAAATACAAACTTAATATTTAGAGCCCAGTTACACTGTTGTGGTGCAATAAGGATCAAGGGTCAATGACGCCTTTCAAATTCAACAAATTTGTTCTCCCCTGACATACAACACTGTGGAGACATCGACTAAATGGAAGTTTGAATCATTTAATTCTTTTTCTTTTAGGGCCAAAAATGTAGCTAACACATTTGGAATCTGTTAAAATAGTTACTCTTAACAGAAATAATAGAAAAACATTATTAATGTGTTAATACACACTTGCAGGTGCTGACACCACAAAAAACTAAATAAAATCCCAAATTCAGATTCAGTCACTATGAAACTAGCCGCCATAAACACTAGTAGAGGAGGAAGTATTCAGATCTTTAACTTCAGTAAAAGTACCAACACCACTGTGTAAAAATACCCAGCTGACACCGGACATCAAAATGATGTCAGAAAGACTTTGGACGCTTCCGTCGGTCAGACGTTAAATTTTGTACTAACGTACTAGCTTAAATGCACTTAGTTACATTCCACCACTGACAAACACCGAGCTTTAACCCTTTGAATCCTGCAGCGACATCACTTGTCTTGTGCTGCTTTCAGACGCCTTTTGCTAGTATTTGAACATCTGAACCCTCCCTGAGCAAACTGGTGCGATTTATTCAAAAACATGGGAAAAAAGACAATGAGTAGCTTGGTAAGAAATGTCACATGCATTGCAAAAAAAGTAACAGATTTGGATTTTTTTTTTTACATAGAGGGAAAAAAGCTGCAGAATAACTACATTTATATTAATAATTATTATTACATTTTAAAATTTATTTACAGAATTATTTTAATTCTGAAGCACACTTTCCATTTCCTTGTTTGTTTTTAACTTTCTCTTTTTCTTTTTTTTCTTGTTTTTAATTTTCTCTTTTAACTAATTTTTCACTATTTTTTTTTTTTGGATCATTTCTTGTTTCATTGCTAATTGTTTTCTTCCTAAAAAAGAAAGTAACAAAATTAGGAAATTATTTAAAAAATAAATAGGGAGAAACAAAAGATGGGGCAGAACTATATATCTAAAAATTATTTATTATTACATTTTAAAATTATATTACAGAATTAGTTTCATTTTAAAGCACTCTTTCCATTTCCTTGTTTGTTTATTTTTTATTTCCTTTTTTCTTTTCTTTCTTTTTTAATACTAATTTTCTCTTTTTACTCATTTTTTTTTTTACTATTTTTCTTTGGATAATTTCTTCTTTTGTTGCCAATTGCCTTCATCCCCCCAAAAAGTAATGGTTTTAGAAAATGATTTAAAAAAAAACAACAACTAAGGAAAAAGCTAGGGAAGAACTATAATTATAATGATAATAATTATTACATTTTAAAATTATTTTACAGAATTAGTATAATTTTAAAGCACTCCTTCCAGGTCATGTCCTTGTTTGTTTGTTTTTAACTTTCTTCCCATGTTTCTAAAAGAAAATGATTCATTAATTTGCTCAGGTTTCAAAGGGTTAAAGCAGAGATTAATTAGTGTGTTTAATGTCTGATAAAATGTTAAATAAAATGAATAAGAAGGAGCGACACAAAATTAGTGTTTAACCTGAATGAATAATGTTGTATTATTAGATTCTGAAGGTTTGTGTTTGTGTCGACACGTCTTTTATACATCTGCCTCCTGGACTCAGACACTGATGCTGCATTCAGGTCACCCTCGGAAAAAACAACATTTACAGAATGTTTCACAGCAAACAAAACTGATGGGACCATTTAAAGGACAAACGTTAACACACTGGTTTATAACTGGTGTGATGGAGCTGCTGACACGACCCTGCTGTTAGAAATCATACTAATCATTCTGTACTGGGATCACTGGGAGGTGACTGGGAGAAAAGATTTGATTTAAAATCACATTTCATTTCAAAGAGCCTTTACTGTATCTGTTGTTGGATATCATCACACTTAAGTGCCTTTCTGGATCTTTCTACCTGTGTTTGTTTGTTTGTTTTCATACACTGTTTTGTTTTATTTACTCCATGATTGAACTTATTTTGTACTCTGTCTGGTGCTACACTGAGAATGTTCAAACTTTTATTCATTCACGGAAAAAAACATTTTATCTTTGCTGCTGCTTTTTGTTTTTAAAAAACGTGACACATCCAAAGCATCGTGATGGTAAAACAACACAGGACGTCGGAGGAAGAGAAAAACACGCTGGGAGGAATATTTATGGAAATATCTAAATGTTATTTATGCCTGATTTACAGTGTGGATGAGTTTATGTGTCTGAATATTAACTGTTGTGAAAAGTGTCAAGAGTTTGTGCGATAAAAAAAAAAATGCAGATGTTACACACCTGATTTGTCGACTTGTTCACCTTCGACATGCTCGGTTCACTGAGGTCAAAAGGTCCCTGATGTCATCACAGAGGCAGGACTGTTCTGTCTGAGAGGAAAAAACACGACACATGACAGGCTGTGAAATTATTCCTGGACATCATTTCACATGTTCAGAATCCAGCTGATAATCATACCTGAAACATGTTAAATCACACCGTGGTCCTTTAAAGCTGCAACGACTCTGTGTCCGACCTGTTCTCACTCCCAACTCGTAAAATACGGCCACTTTGTCAGTGATTTCAGTGTCCAAGACAAATGCAGAGAGACACCTTATGCAGAGATATGACACGCACCTGGTGTGTCAGTTTTAGAGGCAACAGGCAACAACCCAAGTCGTCAAATAGCGCTGCTTTGTCAGTGAACATCAGCATCACACACAGACGCAGAGAGGCACCTTTGTGTTGGTATGATTTGCACCAGTTGACAACAGTTTGTAATGCCGGCAACTATCGTAATGTAAAGACTGCATTCCCACGCATTTTCGTGGACAAATTTTAAAACTTTTTCATGAGTTTTCGGGAGCCCATAATAAAATTTAGTCTGTCTTGCCTCACTTGCTTGGCGTTTTTCAAACATAATGGATTTAAACTCTATTCAAACATAATTTCAGCTAGCTGACACGTGAAGATAAAGAGGGAACGTGGGGAGAAACTGAAGAATTATATGTGATGGTAAACAAAATTTCAGTGCATATTAGAGCAACAACGGCTACAGAATATAAATTTAATTTAATTTTTCTGACTACCCCTGGCCATCCATGACTTTTCCAGGTTTTCCATGACCCTGAGAACTATGTAAAGAGCGACAACACTCGTGCAGGGAGGATGGGAGGGTTAAACAAACTGCGGACTTTCACTTGGGAGCCAGCTGTTCAGTTCCTGTTTGAATTTTAAGCCAAACCGTATTTTTTCTAAACCTAATCAAGTGCTTTTGTTGCCTAAACCTAAGGAAATCAACCTAAAAATGAAGTGTTTCACCACGTGGAACATTTATTTTGAAAGACTATATCGAAATAGCAGGAAATGTTGCCATTAGGTAATCGTTTCTTTTTACTATCTTATAAAAACACGTTAGTTTCGTTAGTCAGACACAAACGCAGACAGGAATCCTTCGCCGCAGTATGGTACCAAGCAGCATCAGTTTGTAACGCTGCCAGCAACTACTATAAAGAGCAAGAAAGTCCGTATAGAACAGGTTGATGGGTCAAACAAACTGCGGACTTTCACCCAGGAGACCACTGTTCGGTTCCTGTTTGAATTTTAAGCCGTACCATGTTTTTTTTTTCAAACCCTAACCACATTCTTTTGTTGCCTAAACCTAAAGAAATCAACCTAAAACAAAGTGTTTTACCTACATTTAAAGTTTATTTTGAAAGACTGTATACATGTAACATGTAAGAAACACATGTAACAGAAAAAAATTGAGACGACATCTGTGAACGTGCAAAACAGATGCAGGATGTTATCTAGTGCCTCATATTTAGACGTGTATGTCCACTGACAAAGCGGCGGTATTTGATGAGCTGGGATGAGAACATCTCGTTAAATCTCATTTTATTGCACCAACGTTAAAGTTAACTTTACACTGTCACCATTACAGGGTTGGTTTAATGACATCAGAAGATAAAAATAAATAAATCTGTCATTTTCACAGAACAAAACTGTCAAAGTGTTTCCTCGTGATCGCAGGGGAACAGAAAGTCTAAAGTACTGACACATTTGTCCTCTCTGGCCTGCCGTCGTTTTAAAAAAATAAAAGGATTTCATGGCAAAAAAAAGTGTCTAAAAATGCTGAAGATGTTCCTGTCATCTAGAAAAGATAAAATATCTGTAAGTGATATCTTAATGTTGCCAAAGAGAGTCCTAAAATAAAGTGGACTGTGCTGTTGACTGAGATGCTGACAGACTGGCGTGCAGAGTGTCTGTGCAGAGTGCATGTGTGGCGCATTTCTGCACGACTGTAGCAGATACTCGTTTCTAAAAAGACAAATATATCAGAAGAGGCCAAGGAACGTCCACTATAAAAAATAAATAAATCTATGTTGCAGTTGTTGAAGATGTGAAATGCTGCACTGGGATCAGTTATAGTTTGTAAATGTTTTCCTGTGTACAGGTCGTCAGGTCGTGTAGCTCTTTGGTTTTGTATCATACTGTACATGGAGATATAAATGATGCTCAGATGCATGAATTTATTTTTAAACTAAATCATGTTTGTGGATGATTGATGATGATTTTATGGTGTGAATTGTGTTCACCGGTTGATTTTTATACCGAAGTGTATGTGTGTGTGAGTGTGTGTGAGTGTGTGTGTGTTAGCCAAGTGTACAAACAGATTAAATGAGACTCGTTCAAGATAACTGGCTGTTTGTCTTGTTTTTTGTAGCAAAATGCAACTTTAATGAACAAATTTGAAAGTTCACATTTGTTTGTTTTATAAATTTTAAGTTTCTTTAATTAGTTAATTACTTAAGTGATCCAGACGAGGAAAAAAAAGCAGTGAAATTGAACTTTTCTGTTTCTGACAGTGCGCTTTAAACTTCAGAGTCTGATCCAGGTTTTAGTTTTACAGTGTTACAGTGTTCCTGTTTTGGTGTGGTGGTCTTTCATGTAGACCTAGTCTAAGGTGTTACGGATGGTTTTTCTTAGTGTAGTTTATTTATTTTATGTAACTATTCTAATCATATAAAAATAATCAAAATAATGGCAGGTTTTTCAATAACTTTTGTGTAATATGATCCAGAAACTTAAATTTATATATAACATAAATTAGTAGCCGAAGCTATTATTGGCTTAAATCACTTAAGTATATAAAGCTTATATTTGGGACAGGCCTTAATTCTTCTTACGCAAAAAATTTTGCTCAGCAAAGCTGTGAAATACGATCAAATTGTTTATGTGAACCAGTATGAATATTTCTTCTTTAAAAATTAGGTTTCAGATAATATTAATTAATTTGATCTAGCTCCGAGAGACAGGGCATCAAAGAGAGAGAACGTTATGACACTCTTTTTAAAGCACTCGAGGATTACGGCACCGGCACTTTATCCTGTTAAAACAATTCTCACAACTTGGATTCATTTTTATGTAAAGACCCTTTTGATTCTTTTGATCTGAGGACCCTTACAGACCAATGGAATATGAATACCTTACAGGGTTATCAAGGTTTACACACACACATATTCACGACAGCTTCTGAGGAAGGGAGTCGCCATTTTTTCATCATACCAGGAAACACTGAATGAACCATAGTTTTCTCTGGTGCTCATGGTTTCATTAAAATGAACTGAACGATTGAACTGTGGAGGATCTCACCGAGATGACGATGTGTAGCATCTCCATGTTGACAAATGTTAAACAGTTATATTTGTTTGTGCGATCTAAACAGCTGACATTAGCTCATGTGTGTAGCCAACAACCTGTTTTATACATCAAAGAAAGTCTGTAATAATGAACCACTTGGCAACCAGACCAGGCTTCTAATTGAGACAGGGCTTTATTTGTCGATATGTGTAGCCACACCAGGCTGGTGAAAGGGACATTTAATTAGGACTAGGCTTTTAATTTACGTTTTACGATACACACCTCTGTCTCCAGATGTTTGTCCATGGATAGTGTTTCTCCAGTGATCAGGATGTTGACAGGCTGTGATCCGACGCTCTGAGGTGAACCTGGTCCAGAGCAGGTCAGCTGTTCAGCATCAGTTACCACGGTGATTTGACCCTGTAGAAAGAGAACCTGCTTCCTGGTAAACCCTGAAATTACCTCGCTGAGCCCAAATCCTGCTTGGTAGTACATATTCATCAGGTCGACACAAAAACTTAATTAATGATCATGTTGCTCTGTGACTGCTGGATGTGGAAGTAGTAAAATGTTGAACACTTTAAATACAGCTCCTTTTTAAGGTGATATGTTGGAGCTGTGTGTCTGTCAGCTTGAGGCCACAAATCTATCACTGCAGCTTAAAGACAGTGAAACAAGCAAGTATATGATAACAGTGTTCCTGCATTAACTCTTCTGTTATCTGTTGATACATGCCAAACACATGGAAGTAAAAGAAATATTTGTTTATCAAAGTCACATTTTAGATGTTAAATTATCATGTAAAAACAAAAACTGCACGAGGTGACTGGAGTTACTTATATTGTGTTTTTGTTTCTGCTGTTTTCAAGGACGAAGATGAACTTTGAGTCTGAATTAAAACAGTTTACCACATTTGTTCAGTTGCTCTTCACATTCATGATTCTTAAAGTGAATTCATGTCTGTAGGACAAAGCTGTGGATGAGTCCCAGCATGAATCATACTGTGTTTTGTACTGGAAGCATCACTTCAGTTCAGTTTAAACCAGAATGACAAACACATTAATCAGTTTGACTCCTCACAATCAGGATCAATCTCAGCTCAGGAGACTGAAGTTGGCTTCTGATTAACAAATATTTCTCAGCTTGTTTTCTGGTGTTTCACCACATTTACTGTTAAAGACATCATTCAGAGACTGAAGGCAGAGTTAAACACATTTAAACCAACTTCAGTCTCCTCTACACAGCTGGAAATTAAAACCTCTGACAAGAAACCTTCAACTATGGAAGCCCATTTCTGACAAAATGTTAGGAATCTCAAAGATGAAAATTTAAGCAAAACTACAAGACGGTAATGAAGCAACAGATCCCTGCTAGTAAACTTCCGTCTTTAAGGTCAGTGTCTCATAATTTACGCTTGCAAATTCAATTTTATTTACCTATTATCCTGTAACTTTGACCTGGAATCTTGTAATTTTAACATTAATTGTTGTCTCAGCATCTCAATTTCAGTGTATTAAGTCAAAACTTGTACATATTATCCTATATTACCATGACTGGCAGGGTTCCCACACATTTTTACCATAATATTTTACTCCATTTCCATGATTTAATTCAGTGATGCACCCTTATAATAATATTTAAGCACCTCCCAGGTATCTGCGACTAAGCTTATAGACCAGACAGGCACAAGTGTCAGGGCTGTGTCCCTTTTTGAGGATGGAATATCCTATAGATATCAGTGTGATTATGGACATATCTAATAATAGTTTTGAGCTCTTGCCTGAACCCAAGTGGTCGAGATACCCCAATAAATTAAGGCTGATCGCCATCAAGCCCTTTCAGGATTCCCCAACCAAGTGGATCAGAGACACAGTTGCCAGATATTGCTTATCCGGACATCTATACAGATGTCTGGATCATGATACCCTGTGACTCAATCTAATAACTTGTTGAATTACTGGGTATCCTTATGGTAACTGTTTATAAATAACCTAACTGTTATTCGCCAGCTGTTTGATCTACAGGTTGAGACGTAGTCGGAGACAACTGTCTGATGCTGCTGTGCTGTTTAACTGTAATGTTTCTGCAGCAGCCTCCCAATCAAGCTAACGTTAGCTATTCATCAGTAGAAACTGTTGGCCTCAATTAGTGACACGGACAGTGAGTATACATGTCCAACTAAATCTCAGTGTCAAAGTCTTGGTTAACAAAACAGCTTCTCAGCATGGTTCACTCCGAACCATTTCCAGGCCTTTCATGACCGTGGGAACCCTGCTTTGAGAGTTAAAATTTTTGACTTAATACCTCGAAATTTTGGAGTAGAAAGTCAAAATTGTGATTTTGTATGTCAGAATTTTGACCTAAATAATGTAATGAAACTTTGTTTGACATTATGACTCAAAGAGACACATTTTTCATGCATCTTTTTTTGCTCCCTTTCATTTGTCTGGTTGAAATGGGCTTCCATATGTAGCACACTGAGGCTAACACAGGCTAACCGGAGTTAGCAGTTGATGGACAGATGAGGGGGCGGGACTTTTCTTCGTCTAGAAGCTTTATTGATAATTGTTTACATCTCACAATGCATTCCACAAACACGGCTCCCGGCTGGAAGCTTTTTATCGTCACAATTGAAGTATGAAGTTTATCATTCACAATTATACTTGCATAACAAACAAATGCTCGAAGGTTTATCAAAGTCACATCAAGTTGCAACTTCATTAAGATATTGGCTCCACAGACAGTATGGTTATTTATTTTTTTCTTTAAATCCCATTTCTTTTTTTTTTTTTTACTTTTTATTATTTTATCTGATGTGGATGAATGTAAACGTGTTTCTTCCAGAGTTTTTCATTACTAGACAGCTGCAAATGACATGGAAATAACGACTTTGATGTAATTAATGTGTTTTATTTGTCTGGCAAAGGTTTTCTAGATGTTTCTAGCTAGAGTTACTCAGAAGCGATGAAGTTTTTAAATGGTAGTACAAGCCCCCACCCCTTCGCCCCACCTCTCCCCCGCTGCCTCATCAGGACTCAAAGACGTCGTTCACATATCCGTCACGTCGAGGCAAAACCGGCAGGTTACCGAGGAAACGAGCTCGAAGCTTGAGGGACACGACGGTGTTTCAGTTAAACAGCAAAATCACAAAATACTTCTAACTCAGTAATCATACCAAAAAAAGAGAAAATACAAATGAGGTGCTGTTTGCTGCTTGCTCAGGTCTTTCTCAAAAAAACAGCAGACGAAGGAAAAAATAAATCTCTCAGTTCGGCTCAAAAGACGACAACGAAAAAATAAAGAACACCCGAAGCCAACTGAGGGAGCGTCTGAACTCCCACAATGCACTAGGTGGGTAGAGGGAGGGTTGATTCAAGATTAAAATGTGTTTCTGTGAGTTTCACAGAAACAAACATTTCAAACTTGATACATACATATAAAAAAAAGGTGCATCGTCGAGCCGACCTCGGTGTCGTGAACCTCAGCTGAACTCCGACCTGCTTCAACTTTTCCAGAAAACACAAAAAAAGGAATTCTGAACTGGAAAAAAAAGTGTTTTTATTATTTTGACAAATAAAGTTAGAAGGGCTGCGTCCACGCCAGACCCCTCCTCTCCTCCTCCAGCCTTCCTTCATATCCACCCCCCGACTGCCCTCCCTCACCCACCCACACACCCTCCCCTCCAACCATCTCTCTTCTCAGGACATCCTGAATCCAAACTCTGACTTGTCGTTACTTCACTCTGCTTTGCGTTTCATCCCAGGAACCTTCGCCTGGATCCTGCAGGACGACACAAAGTTAAAAAATATATACATTAAAAAGATTCAAAGGCAGGAATGGAAAAAATTAGAACCTTTAAAATAAATTTTGGATGGATTATTTCATCTTTTTTTTTCCTCAATACTGTTGTTGTAAAGCATTTTTGAGTATCCTGAAAAGCACTATATTAATCCCATGTATTATAACTATTATTATTACTATTATTATTATTTCCATTTTCCATTAAAATCTGACAGAAGCTGCCAAAATAAAAAAATAAATACATTGACTCAGTAAATAAATTTACCATTAAATGTACCAAAAATGTAGGCATTAATTAATTGATCAAATATGACAAATTATTAATTTTCCTATTTATTTTTACTCATTTTTAAATAATTATTTATTCATTTTAAAATTCACATTTCAGTCCAATTTTAACATTTAATGCCGGTATTAATTTTTAATATTATTCTTGGTAATTCCATCTTTTTTCTTTTTTTTAACTGAGTCATGTATAAACTTTTTAATTTGTTTTTTATTTTGGCAGCTTCCGCCTTCCATACATTAATGCATTAAATGTAAATGTACAAGCCCAATTCCCAAAAAATTGGCACACTGTATAAAACATAAATTAAAAAAGAATGCAATTAGTAGTAAATTCTTTTTGTCTTACATTTAATTAATTTAAGTTTTAGCTTTTGAAATGCTACTTGTTTAATCATAATCAACTTCCTTGGAAATTAAGAGACAGACTCAACCCAATTGAGTTTTATGTTGCTGCTGAATTTCTCCCAAGATACTGAATTCTATTATTTTGACGAAGTGAATTTATTTTTGCCACTCCTGACATTTAAATTACTTTGTCTTTTCTTGGGTTTCCATACAACAGAGATCAGTCATGAGGAGAAATCTGAAAAGCTGTTGACAAACGTCTCTGTCCACAATCACAGTTTTCTGTTCAGTTGTTTCATCAGTTTAAAACCAGTTGGTGCATTAGCGCCACCATGTGGTCAGCTGTTGGGTTGGTTCTTCCTTTTAGTCTGAGCAGGTTGATAATAAACATTTTCATTTTGTTAGGTCCACTCTGAAACATTTCTGAAGGACAGCAGGTCACACTACTTACTTTCCAACGATGTCTTTGACCTGGTTGTTGACCAGAGCCAGGTAGTGGTCGATCTGAGCCTGAAAACACAAACAAACAAGTGTCAGGATTTTACTTTAGTACAGCACTCGAACTGTTCTTAGTTCACTAGTTTGTGAAAAGAGCAGTAATGAAATGTGGCTGTGAGACTGCTGAACTCTTGCTTTCAAGATAAAAGTCTTTAAGTTTAATGAGTAAATAATAATAATGATGTGTGAACAAAGTCTAATTTAGCTGAGTCCCCCCCCCCCACACACACACACACACACACACACAGCCATCAGAAAAGCAGCAGAAAAGTGAGTTTAATGGAAAAATATTTTTGAAAACAAAATATGTCTGCTGAGACTCATCTTTTATTCACTTCCATTTAAAAACTCTACAAAAGGAAATGCTGTATTAATGGCAAAGACTGTTGTTCTTACCTGGTGTTTCTCATAGATGATCGGGCAGGTGAACGCTGCGATCAGACCTGAAGACAAAGAAGCAGACATTGAGTTTTACCACCTGCTGCTTCCTGTTAGTCTGATTTACAACAGACACTGAATCTATCACAGAGAAACCAAAACTCAGATCACAGTTTGAAGTTACTGTGTGTACATTTTATGATCTTTAAATTATTCTGTTTCTAGAAGAAGTCAGTGTGATTCTTGATTTCACCAGCAGATGGAGCCAAAGTAGGAAAAGCATCTAAAGCATGATGGGAAATGAAGGCTTTATACTGACACACTGTCACTCACCCAGAATAAGAATAGTGAGACCGTTGAACAAGGAGCCAACGTAGGTCAGAATCCACATCAACACAGCAAACTGCAGAGAGGAAAACAAAAACGAATTAATTATAAATGTCACAAACATGAAGATCTAAAATAAAGGACTTGATATTTAAAGGTGAAGTGTGTGAGGTTTAGGGGGATTGGTGGCGGTTAGCAGTGAATTGCAACCAGCTAAAACTTCTTCCAGCTAGAATTCAGTGTGCATCGTCCAGGAGGTTTTTTTTGTGAGGTGAATTATCAGCAGAGGTCTCTTCCTCTCCACTACAAACAGACCAGGTGATTTAAACAGGTAAAAACACTGAATAAAGCAGTGTCATGTTACTTCTTTGTATTTTTAGGATTAGGGTTAGGGTCATAAATGCCGTACTTAAGAGGCAACCTATCACTGCTGTTACACGGTACAGTTCATTCCCAGTGGTGGAAAGTATCAAAGTAAATTTAATATAAGTACCTCAAAATTTAACTTCAGTATTTCCATTTTATTCTACTTTATACTTCCTCTTCTCTACACCTCAGACCACCACAGTTCATATTCCTGAAACAACAATCCTTTTACTGACCTAAGGAAATAAACAGGTCTGGTTCAAAACCAATTAGAGAGTTTCCCTTACAGGAATAAGTTAATGATCTCTTTATTTACTCATAGAACTTGTTATATTAGGTCACCCTTTAAATAAACAGAGACACTCCAAGAGCAAATCTAAAAACTGATCAGACTGAATCAATGTGTCCGAGACGAGTCTTCTGTTTCTCTTTATAAACAGTCAAGAATATCGAAACAGAAATATCTCAGCCATGTTTATTATATTTATTTATATGATGGTCCAGTGTCTGCCCTCACCTCGCTCTGTAATGTTCCTAAGACCCAGTGTTTCCTAACCTTTTACCTTCAGAGACCGCTTTTCTATCGTTGAGTTAACTGTTTTATGGATATTTCATATTATATTCACTGCAAAACATTAACACAACAACTTTACACTTAACCCACAGTGTCACAGAGTGATCGCAATAACTGCAGGAAATTTGTGTAAAATAAGTGATTTGGATGAATATAAGCAGATTATTTCCTATGAATATTAAATCAGTGGTAAGTTTTCTTGTTACTTTTGGGAGCGTTTCGTGTTTTCTTCACAGAACTGAATAAAATGTTAGGATAGCAGCCCACTGTATGCTTTATCTTTTAAGTTTTCTTGCACCTCTTCTTTTTGGCAACCCCTAACCAATACAATGATTGATATGACTTAGCTGAGAGGCAACACCTCTTTATTCCAACTTGAGTACAATGTTATAACGTGTGTCTGAGTCCGGTCAGAAAATAAAAAAATAATAAATCCATTTCAACACTTGGTGACATTTTTGAGGGTTCAAACAGGCTCAGGATGCAGAAACAAGTCTGACCTTTGTAGTGTAAAACTGAAACCCTGAAGCTGTTTTAATATGAATGCTTACAGTGCTGTAATAAGATGTGACAGTTTTCTGCTCGTGTTAATGATGAGCATTGGAAACAGCCTGGAGCCAACATGGCTGCCAGTGCAAAGACCCTGCACAGTTACAACGGTTGGATTCCTGACTGGAGGCTTGTGTGAGAGAAGATTGTGACATTTTAATGAGCTGCTGGTGCGGTTATAAACTGATAACAGGAAATTAATTACAGGCAGAGGAATAACAAGAATATCCCATAAGGCATCCAGACACACATGCTCGTAATCTGGCGAGAGTTTTCAAACATTCCTGAGGCTCAAACTTCCTCCTGATCGGATTAAAAGAATCAGTCTCTTTTACCCTCTAAGGGCACTGTGATAGTCTCAGATCTGTATTTGGACTGCCGGCTGGAGGGTGCAGGCAGCGAGGTGACGACAGGCCTCTGACAGCTGCAGAGCTCTGAGAGCTCGTCTGTTACCAACACTGATCTACAGACACATTAACCCACTGTAGGTGCTACTGATTAACACCGCTGATCTTTTAAAACACACTGGCTGAAAAGACAGCAGGCCAACATCTATAATCGTGTGCAGAGGGGCAGAATGTTTACATTAAAACTCAACATTAAGTGTCTAAATTAAGCTTGGGAAAGTTTTCACCAACTTGCACTGATGTTTTAATGTTTGACAAGCGGTAAGGAGCATAAAGTTTACGATTCACTGATGGTTATGACCCCACAAAGAGAATGCCAACTATGTTCTTGTAGCGAAACAAACGTGGACGCCATCCAGCAGCTCGCACTGTTTATATGGAGCAACATTTGGACTGAAAAAGCCCCAAAAAAGGATGAAAAAAGCTCAGTTTGATTGACATCCTGGATTGAGAGCTGTATAAGGACTGGAGAGCCTACAGAGAAAACTGGAGCTGAGATGAAGCTAACTTAAGGTAAAGCTGTTCATCTACAGGTACGTCTCCCTCAGTATATTCTCCACAACCCTTCCATACTTCTTACCCATGTCAAACCTGATGTCTATTTTGATCTCAACTACACACATATTAAGTTTTGTGACTGCATCTTGAAACACACCTGGCAAGGTACTCAAAACCGCTTCTATGGTAGTTCCTGCAACGACAGTGTAGAGCTTTGATCAGCCCAAAAACAAAATCATGCCTGACGCTACATGACCCCGCACAGTTTCTGTCCAAGCACTACCCGAGCAGAATTAAAAACCTAAATCTCTACTCTAAAAAAAAATATAAGCAATGGTTGATGCGTTTCCTCGCACCACTTCTTCGCTTCCTTCTGCTTTTTTCAATGGTCTGTCAATGACTCTGCGTCTCGCTCACAAAAGGTTCAGAAAGAACGGGCTGCGCCACTCAGTGCGTCTCTGTCTTTGAGTGTACACGACAGTCCCTGGCAATGCAGTGCGCAGATGATGATCACCTGTCTATCCCGCATGTTACGCACATTTCTCCCATTGCTGGGGAAGCAGAAGCAAACTATGCCCATCATTTTCCGTCCCTCTCTTGCTTGTGCTCTCTCTGTCTCTCACTTACAGTTCTTAACAATATGGCTCTGTTGCTCTGACATTCATCCTTTCTCTCTATAGCGGAAATAAATATTGAGAATATTGAGAAATCATCCCGCACAAAGCACAGCAGATAAAAGACATGTTGGAGGTGAGCTGTTTGCAGAGGTGCAGTAAGAGCCTGTTGTCTGCAGCTTTTCATCTAACATTTCACTGTAGCTGTTTCTGCTTTGACTCTTCTTCTCTGTGGTATTAGTAGACCTGTTTTTTATTAAAGAGAAGCCATGGAAAAAAGTGCCAATGGAAAAGCCCTAAAGGTGTCCCCAGGATAACAAATTTACCATGATGACACACACAGAGGGTGAAAACACTACCAGCCATCACAACTGGTGATTAAGTTTAGGCACTAACCTCCTGCTCTTTTATTTAATTCAGTATTAATGATCATTTCTGGGTCGAGCTGGTGTTAACCGGAGTTGCTCTCACCTTGATGGAGTCGACCAGGTCCTCGACCAGGAACAGGCGCCTTAATTCACCGATGATCTTGTTGAGCTTGGCCAGAAACATGTCGCTGTACTTGTGGACAGTATCCTCAGGCAGTGCCACCTCCTGGTCCAGGTACTGCCTGTGAGGGACAGCAGAGGAGCAGAGACGACAAAGATTGATTAGAATGTCATACAAACTGATGCATACACTAGGCTTGGTGTAATTTTTCCATACCTCCCTGGCATTTCATCAGGGTATACAATATACAGTGTTTTTTATGTAAATAAATAAAAGTATTTGTAGCCCCCCACCTCTGAGTTTCAGCTGTAAGATGTGTTCGCTACACTCCACAAGCTCAAATGTCAAGAAAGGAAATAGTCTTACACCTATTTTTCTTATTAAACGGAAAAATAGAACTGAACCTTCTGAATTCACTCAATTCACGTGCTTTATTAACTCATTGTAAAACACGCTCAACTCAAACTCAACAGAAAGAGAATAAAACTCACCAAAACCATCTAACTTTGTCTAGTTAGTTATCTAGCTACAGCTGCTCCAACAATAACCAACTCTGGTTTGGCGGAAATTAGCTCTTAATTCAATGAGTAAGATGTAATGTTATCCCCACAACTTGTAGTCACTATCTTTCTCAGTTAAGCTGCCTGTTCCACTTGTACAGTCTGCCCTCTGGTGGTGCATGCTGTGCACCACAGAAACAGGAGCAGCTGTACTTTTGATTGTATTTCTAAATAAGCTGCCATACCATAATACCTTTACACAGCTCAAGCCTAGCATATATTGTGATTGAAGGTGTACAGATTTTGAGGTTCACCTGAAAGTATTAAACATCCCCAATGGTGCCGAATACTCAATAAAACCACCTCAACATCTCTGCGCACGTTTGTTCACTGTGACATTTCCTCCTGCCTCTTTAATGCAGCTTTCCTTCGTCTCATGGAGGTTTACAAACTGTCAAATCGGTAGAAATCAGCTTGTAATGTGACTCTTTGAGCTCACTTTATTTTCCCCAGCTTATGTTAATCTGAGCTAATTGGCCTGCAAAGTGCTCTGAGATCAGTTTGCTGAGCAGCAGGTGAAAAAAAACACAGTAAGAGGGTTTTGAAAAAGAGCCAGGGCGGAGGATGAACGAACAAACAAACAACCAACAAGAGGTGGAACCAACAGGCTCAGTAAACATCAGCTCTGTGCAGTAACTACTTTACAGATCTCTCTGAATATGCAGAAAGGTGTTTGTGATGCTTTGCCATGTAGCTTCTTGTAGTGTTGCTAAAAACACAAAAAATCTAATACAATACAAAACTAAAAAATAAATAGCTCTGTAAGGCCTGAGACACATAACAGCAGCAGACTGCCTAAAGCACTGACTGATAGTTAGGATTAATCGGGTCATTGATTTCTGTGATGTGTCTGGCCGAGTTTAACTCCCAGTGAAACCAGACTGCATTAATGTTTGATTCTGAGGGTTATTTGAGGGGGAAAATGGTTCCAACAGTATTCTCCTCTTTCATGCAACACTGTGGGGACATCAACTAAAGAGAAGTTTGAATTATGTAATTCTTCTTTTGGTGCCAAAACTATTTAAAACGTAAATAATACATTTAGTATTTGAATTATGCTGTTTTTCTCTCTGTTAAAATACTTGCTATTGAAGGAAAGACGATACACATCACAAACAGCTATGACCCAGCTTGTTAAGGGAAATGGAAGTTAGATAAAACCAGATGTTTTTGGTAAAATGAAGTTATTCATTAACAAGGAGGTGCATTTCTAACATTCATGACCCTGAAAACTCTCTCGGTGGTACTCACTTGAATGGGTGGCCCTCATCTGACTTCTGGATGGCCTGCAGGATGCCCTTGTATATCCTGAAGCAGATGGTGACTGAGAGCAGAGCCAGGCCGATGTAGGAGCACACGCTCACGATGCTGCACACCGTCAGGGAAAGGAGGAGCAGCAGGGCGGCGCCGAACACCACACCCGTGGTCTTCACATCACGCCAGTAGAGGAGATCCACCACTGCAGGAGGAAAAGGAAGAGGAGTGATAGTTAGTGTCAATTATCCAGAGACAGGGTCAGTTTGCCCTTCAATGAAGCCTGGAGGTTGTACTGTGCTGTATATTTGTACTCAAATACCTAACTTACTTCTATTGTGCTGTTGTGTTTCAACTATTCATAGTTAACATGGCCATAACTGATAAAGGAAGTTCCTTGACATTTGCAGGACCAAAGGGTATTTTTCAAACTAACTCAGTGAATTCTACAACTCTTTCTGATACACAAGATGAGCTCAGAAATCATGAGACTTTAGTGGGAAGTGACAGAGATGCACTGATGAAATTGAGGATCGATTCGTTTTGGGACCAGACAAAAAAAATAAGCCTCATATAATGAATCAGTATTAAGTGAACATCCGCTCCAAACAAACACTGTTTGTGCTTTTACACTACTTTACTAGAGTTAAATTTTCTGCTTCAGTTCTCTCTCACATTGTTGGTGCATGCGATGGTGTGGAGGTGGAGCATCTTTATGTCTCCTCCATCAATGAAGTCTGTGCTGCAGTTCTGCTGGGGGTCAGAGGTCACACACTGTCATCCCTCACTGCAGCTTCTGACTCACAAACTTCCTCATCTCTGTGCCTTCTGGACTTTTACACTTTCCACCCTGATGTCACCATGACGACTTCCAAGTGATGTAACACCAGCTCCGCCGGCCCCTTTTGGAGGTCATCAGCTTTAACTTGGATGACCTTCATTTTATCATGCTGTCCAAAAATCACAAAAACTCCAACCCTGCTCACTGTTGGTGTTATGGAAGGTTTGATTCAGATTGCTGTGGATAAACACTGAATCTCCCCCACCCTGCTTCCTGTGCTTCTGCCAGGTTTGTGATGGAGAACAAAATGGCTGCTAACAAAAGAGGGCTGACAATAACAATAACAGTTGTGTCATGGAGAGAAATAAACTTCTGAAATAGGATCACAAGATCTAAACTTTCTGTCAGCATTTTACACCTGTGGATAGTGAGTCGTAGCCAAAGCACACCCGACCTGTGTTCAGTAAACTGTTTAAAATACATTTTATCATCACACAGAGCAGCACAGACATCATTTAAAATGTCTAACAGCCATTAACGTACAAAGACGAGAGCAGGTCAGAGTTTACATATCAGCAGCAGAGGAATGAGACACCTCTGCCACAGAAACTAACTACGTCATCATGAGGTTTTTAAAGCTGAACTGTGAGTAACCACACAAACTGCAGTAAGAGTCAGTCATCACTGCAACATCTGGCAACAGCCCTCCCTAAAATGGATCCACTGACCAGACGCCACCAAATATGTCCTGGCATTACGAGTCATCAGAGTGTCATCAGAGTGATAACAAAGCTCTGCAAACTTGGAGGTGGACATTTCCTAAAACTACTTCACAATAAAAGCTGCCCAAGCACTTGATTGACCACATAATAAACACATATGATCACCGACTGTGAAAAAATGCTAATATACCGTTCATTTCCATCTCCATTTTAAATATGGGGTCTTCCTGGGTGCTGCAGGAAGCTCCTTCGCCCTCTAAGGACCCAGACAGATGGGTGTTAGTGAAGATGGAGATAGTGGGTGGGGGTCGGACTCTCCTGGGAGACAGCTGAGCTCATGACCTGAGTGCTGCACTGAGCATGCTTATATTTCACCAGGGAATTCCAGGCAGGTCAGTGGACAATATTAGCAGTGAAGGAGTCCTGGGTCTCCTGCAGGCTCTGACGTCGCTCACAGCCAACACATGCTGTACTTTGCGACTCTGAACGACCAGAGCGTCAACCACACGCTGGAATTTGACAGTTTAATGTTTCTGCCTCGCTTATCGGAAATTACAGCTAAAGAGGACTGGTAATTGAGACTTACTTTAAAATTCAACACCACAATCCACATCATAAACCAGTACAAAATAATTGAGTCTCAAGGTCTTACATGCATCCAGTGATAAAGAATGTTTGCTGATAAGCAAAGAAGCATTAAAATGCAAACTGAGGCTGCAGAGTGAGCTCATGATGTACAGGTGCATGCTGGCCAGCACTACAGGCCGACTGACCGGCCACAATACATTTGGCTGCTGACCAAATATTCAAGCCAATAAATGAGCTTAAGGGGCTGAAAACCTCAAATCAGATTTCCTGCAACACCTTGTTGCCAAGTGGACAAATCCGACTGACTGCTCTAACTGCAGGACACCTGCACTCACATTAATGTAAAACATGTTCATTCTGCAGACATGGGACGCTAGGAAACAAAGATTAAGTGCTGAGCTGACATGTCAGTTGTCAACAAAATAGATAGCCTAATCCATGAAGTCATTTAAGTCATTAAGATTGGACTAACAAACAAAAAAAAGAAAAAAAAAAGACAAGCCTTAGTTACAGCCATAAAAAGATTAGGCTAATAATGTATAATAGTTAAAAATTGCAATGTTGTGCCTCTCAGCTTCTATTAAGCTAAACCAATTTAAATTTTTGCTGCAACTAATAATAATGCATTTCTCATAGCCCCAAATTATGTCTTCATCCTGTCTTCACTTTCAGTCTGATCAAATATATGATAAATATTAGATTCATTGGGGCCTGTGTCCAATATAGTGATTTTTCCATGTACCAGCCGCTCTGACTGCTTCAAGTTGAAAATCTCTGAACTTTTCAGAAAGGTGACGGTGACGTCACTGCCACTTTTTTAGCTAGGCTACTGTCTGCTGTCACAACAGACAGAAAGACGATTGGTGGGAGCAGATCCGTGGCGAAAACGGAATGTTGCTGGTGACTGTTGTGTTTTATCACTGAACCACTGTAAGCTTGTTGTCTGTGTAGTCAACTAGCTAATGTTAGTGTGAAGATACTGTTGTCATAGAAACAAAACCCACAAGCAGCACGTCATTAAAAAAGGGCTGGGATGTAGCACCCCCCAGCATCCTGCCACCACTTTTCTACTGAAGAAAAACGGCACAGGCCCTTTGCGCGAGGTCACGGCATTTCAGTCTACTGTGAAACATTTTGCTTTTCTTTGCGACATATGACTGATAATTTCATGTCTTTGGTTTTTACGATTGTTGTCCAACAACACATGAAGATGTCACGAAAGTGTCTGAGAAATTATGACAGGCAAATTTAACATTTTCTGGACATTCCACAGGTGGAAAATAAGGTCAGCAGATTGAATTAGTAATGACTTACTGTAAATTGATCCCCACTTGAAAGAATTCTTTGACAATCAATAATCTAAGTGTCATTGTTTTGTGTTGATAAATGACATTAATAACCATTAGTAAAGCCAACTACACTGCAACAAATCTATTTTAACTGTCTTACACATCAAGTTCTTCATATGTTAATGATGTATTCACATCTCTGACTGTTCAAACATTATATATAATAAGCCCATCTATTGGAGTGGTATCCATTCTGCACAGTTTTTACCAGAGTTATCTTAAAAACCGTGCTTTTTAAAATGATTTTCAATGCTGCCTTTTTATGATGACACAAACTACAGTGTCAGTGCTTTAAACTGATCCCAGAGCAGATAAGACAACGCCTCTTGGCTGCTTTAGAGCAGCAGTAAAACCGTGTGTCAGCTGGCTGCCTGACGGTTATTTAGACACAATAATCATTAGAAACAGCAGCTGCATTTTCGGGAAGCTTCTTGCTTATTGAGCAAAGCGGAGTGTGCATGTGGGCGTTGACAGCAGGTTAGCATGTTAGCTGACAGCTAGCTCTCCCCTCATTATCTAACCGCTCAGTATGCTAACTCGGTGTCAGCTCTGTTAGCCACATAGCAGCTGTGGCCGGTAGGTTTGACACAGACCTGGTGTCTGGATGTAAAGACACGGACCGAGCAACCAGCATGGGAGGAGGAGGTGGTGGTGGTGGGGAAGGAGGAGGAGGAGGGTCCGCGGTCCAAATGTGGCTGCCTGGCTACATATGGTAGCAGGCGTGCTAGCATCGCCGAAGCCTGGCTAAAAATAGACCCCGCATCACAGCCAGCTAAACCCGCTGATCTCGTTTCACTACTCGCTATGTTTAATCGCCAGCCCTCTCTTCAACCTGGTCCCTAAGTGTTTTATTATCCGCACCGGGATGCCGTCTGGTGGCCCCCACCGGCAGCCCAGTCCTCACCGCGGGGACTAAACGTCAAACCGTCCGGCATGACCTCCGCAGGCGGCCCCGATCCGCCTCCCTCCCTCCCCGGGCTGAATCCAGCCACAGTCCCGGTGCTCATGCAAATACAGAACCGGACACATAACCGTACGCAAATGCGGCATGTAAACGAGGAGAGAGAGGGTCGGTAAACAAAAGATTATGACCACACTAACCCTGTTTGGCGTCCATCTTGAACCTCCGTTAAGCATGCAGCAGCACGGCGGCTCCGCCTGGCTGAGAGGTGAGACCGAGAGACGAGAGGAAGAGGAGGGAGGAGGGAGGAGGGAGGGAGACATGCGCAGCTCGGCGCTCTCTGGGTTTGGATGGATGGACTACACATTTAGACTCTAATTAATTTAATGTTTTAAAATATATAAAGCAGCACTGTTTAGATCCATGACACACACTGAACACTATAGAGAGGAAATGCTCCAATCTTTAGTTAAAGAAGATCAGATTTCAGCCAAAATATATGAACTAAAATCACCTTTTTACCACTTATCTTTGTAAAATTGTATTTAAAACAACACTGTCTGGGGGGGAAAAATCAGCAACACTTGATTTACAGGTACCATTCTTCCACATAACTTCCTTTAAATTAACTGAGATGTAACACAAATCCATTAAAGTAATTAAGTGCATTCACTCAAGTACTGCACTTGATTACTTTACCTGAACATTTCCCTTTCCTGCTACTTTATATTTATGTTAACATACAGAAAAAGCAGGTGCCCGTTCATGACAGATTCATGAATAACTGCACAAAACTTCCTTCAATAGGATCCACATCAACCGCCAAAAAGCAGGTTCATAATTAAACATAATTACTCTGCAAAT